CTTGGTCAAAGTCAGGGGTTTTATCCTTTATAGTAGGGGAATAAGGGAATATTTGGCTAGAAACGGGTGCATCCCTTGGTGCCAAAGGTTGACAACAAGGGGGATGGCCAATTTCCAGGCATAGTATGTGTGTAGAAGTGAAGGGAGTGAAAGAAAAGAGAATGTTCTTGGAAGGATGCCTCGTTCAACAGCCTTGGAGTGCGTGGAGTGGAGGTTGGCAATGCAGCAGCGACTATGGTTGTTTGAGGAGCGCATTACAGCAAGAATCACTCAAGATCAACCAATCTGTGTGAGTTGTCCAACTTATGGGCAGCCCTGGGTTAGGATGTAAGCAGAGGGTCTAGCAAAGGTCACTGACGAAGCTAGAGATGTGGCTAGGCAGTAGTGATTCTCCACATCTCTGGTGTGTCGTCACAAGGAGCGACATCTTTTGGTGCACTACCTAGGAAACAAAGCGAGCATGGAGATTGTGGTAGAAGGGTGAGCGCCAGGAGAAGTCGGGCTGCCCTCACCAAATCGAGGCTGTTCATTCCTGGTGTATGAGTCAAAGAAGTCAAGAGAGACTTGTAAAAGCACAAGAGTGAGAGGAAAGACGAGCGAAGCAAAGACATGAGAGAGAGGTGAGAATTTTGATGTCGGGTAGCAAAGTCCGTGTCCATGAAGTAGAAAGTTGCACCCGAGTCTAGTAGTGCCAGAGCCTTAAGTCCTGATTGTCCGGTGAAAGAAAGGAGACATGGGATGCAAAAGTTGCGGGAATTGGTGGTGACTTTGATGAAAGGTGGTAAGGAGTTTAATAAAGAAAAAAATTGATTTTTATTTGGGGAGTCCAAATAGACAGCTCCTACTCTGTTTGGACAAGGTTGTTTCCCGACTGCAACAGAGGTGGACCTTGAGGCAGAGTGAACTCAAGCAGTCGGGGAGGCTTCTTGGGACACACAACTGCTTTGTGATTAGGATCAGCATAGTAGAGGCAAAGATTATGAGATATTCGACGTTGCTTCTCAACAGAACTCAACTTCCCTCTAATGAGTTGGGGAGTACCAGAAATATCAATCGGGACCGGAGTAGTAGGTTCAAAAGTATGCCCCGAAGACTCAAGCTGGGATTCCTGAGTCTAGGACGGGAAAATGGCGGCACGGCGACTTTCCTGATGATGTTCAAAGAGACGATTGTCGCATTAAACAGCTTTGTTGATGGCGTCCAACAGGTCCGTGGGATCCTTCATGGTGAGCAACAAATCCTTGACACCGTTGTTGAGGCAGAAACGAAATTGATCAATCAGAGCCCGCTCATCCCATTGAGTGTCCAAGGCAAGGAGTTGGAACTCTGTAGCATAGATCGAGGCAGGACGAGACCCCTGAAAGAGATGTCTTATCTTTGTGGTGGCAACCCAAACCCGATCCGTCTATGCTTCGAGCTTCTCTTTGAACAATTGAAGATCCATCAGCTCTAGAACCACGACCCCACAAAGCTACACCTTCGAGCAATGTCCCAATCGTGCCGATTTGAGACTTGGGAGTGGGGTACCGCCGATGTTGAAGTGCGAAGATCAGCTCCATTTGGTTCAGGAATCCGCAAAGCTCTGAACGCTTGCCTGAAAATTTCACTAGAAAACTCACCTTCGGTTCAGGAACTTTGCTGGATCCTTGAGCCGAAAGTGAAGCAAACTCCTGTTGCATGCGAAGAAGGGTCGCCTTCAGCTCGGTATTCTCAAACTGGATTTTTGCAAGGACTTCGGCAAAGAAATCATGATGGCTTGGAGACCCAATCGGCAAAGAAGAAAGAAAAAGGGGGAAAAAGGCAAAGGCAATCAAACAATCCAAATGAGCTAAAGCAAAAACGAAAAAACACAATCTGAATCAAACTGCTAAGACCCCCAACAAGATCAAGACTGGAAAATGCAGAAAACAAAGAGAAAAGTTAGTGGAAATGAAGAAGAGGCCTTAGACTAGTGTTGATTTAGATTGTGGAGAAATGGAACAAAGCTAACCTATATATACTATAGGTTGATGAAGCTCCACCACTCTTGGATTGAAGACGGCCTAAATATAGTTGAGGTTGAGGAGGTGCCACATCATCATCAGGAATGTGGCTCGAGACTCAGGAATCGTACGGGAAATCAGAGAGTCAGGAATAGGGAAGTGTCTCGAGAGTCAAGAATAGGGAAGTGTCTCAAGAGTTAGGAATGTGGGCTGCAGGTCAAGAATCCGGCGAGAGTCAGGAATGTGGCAAGAATTGGGGGTTCCTGACAGTTTTCTACATCGATTTCGTAATCTTGAAGATGAAGGAGGGCATGTTGGGCTATCCACTGCTGCTTAGACGTCCTTGGCTTCTCCCGGTGGCAACTGTGCATAATTGGCGTATAGGAATTCTTGCAATTGGCGATGGCAATAATTGTGTTAAAAGTCCAAGTTCATTTTTGCCTTAGGGCACAGCGAGTACTTGGGGCAGAACAGGAGGATGAAGACAGCTCTAATACATCCAATTCTAGCAGCTAGACAAACAATGAGGATGATGAGGAGGGTAGCAGCAGCATAGCCAGTTGTGAGGAGCTAGAAATGGTGGATGTGGCTGCTGTTGCCAGGAATTCCTGGGGTAAGCCTCTTTCGACATGCAACATTGAGGAGCTTGAGAGCTGGCTGTTGGGAAAGGATGGAGAGTTGCCTTTCAACAGTGTACAGGTGGAAGAAGAAGAGACTGCTACCAGACAGCAGCGAGGACGGAGCCCTTTTCCTTGCTACATAGCTATAGTGCTTCATGAGATGTGGATGGACTGCATTTTGAATCTTGATGTGAGGAACAATTTTTTGAGCGAGGAACTAGTTGCCACTTGCCAGCTCAAAACTATTCAGTGGAGCAGCTGTGTTGGGCTATACGAGCAGGAGTTAAAGCAGATCATATATAGAGTTCTAGGTTTGACAATTAAGATACCAGAATTTCCAGTTGACCTGGATTTTTTGGTGGCACCTTGGAAAATGGACAACTATATCTTGTTGGGATGAGATTTTTTTAAGGTAGCAAGAGTGTCTCATCAGTGGAATGATCCTCTTCACTTGTGGATTCCAAATCCACATGGTAGTGGCAGAGTGCAGATCGGCATGGAAGAAGGGGATGAGCCTAGCGAGCAAGTTTTTATCACAGTGTTGGGATCAAGAGCTGAAAATCAAGCTATGCCAATACCAGTGGTGTTCCAGACAGTGGATAGTTTTGAGGCTTGAGTGGGAGGAACCAAAGCGATGCATCTCACAACATTTTTGGAGAATGCAGATCTTACAGCAATAGTGGATCTAGGAGCACTTGGCAACTTTTTAACAAAAGATGGAGCGGCTCGAGCAAGCTTGGTGGTTACAGCTCTTCATGAGCATTACATTGCCGTCTATGCCGATGGTGGAGTTTTTCCAGTGAGTTCCAATGTAGTGATTGGTGAGGAAGACTTTCACGAGGTGCCTTTTTATGTGATCGAGGGCACTGTGACCAATGTACCAATTACTTTGGGAGCAGCTTGGCTTTTCTAGGTGTGGGCTAGTCATGACTATGTGATTGGTACTCTGGTGGTGGAAGATGATAATCATCGATCTCGGACAATCATCTTGTCTGATATTAGTGCGTTTGACTATCACTTTTCTTACATGCTGAAAGTTGAGAAGGTTTCAAAGTTAAAAAGCAAGTGGCAGCATGCAAGGATCGTAGTATGCTCAACTATTTTTGGAGTTTCAAGATGTGTTTGCATGGAGCTATGCTAAATTTGCTGGAGTAGATCTGGAGTTGGTGCAACACAGGATTCCCTTGCTTCCAAATGCAGTGCCATAGCAACAAAGAGCTTATAAGATGAATATGAGCTATGCTAAGGCTGTGCGTGAAGAGCTTCAAAAGCTGTTGGATACAAGATTTATTGAAGAAGTGGAGGCTACAGATTGGCTTTTGCCAATTGTAGTGGTCCGAAAGAAGAATGGTAAACTTAGAGTATGTGTGGATTATCACCACCTTAATGCTGCAATGAGGCAGGATGGATTTCCTCTTCCCTTCACAGATGTGGTGCTAGATAGGGTTGCTGGGAAGGAGTTGTACAGCTTTATGGATGGTTATAGTGGATATAACCAGATCCAGGTGGCTCCTGAGGATCGAGCAAAAACAACATTCATTACAGAGTGGGGTTGCTATATTTTTCGTGTCATGCCATTCAGTTTGATGAACACACCAGCTACTTTCCAATGTGTGGTGACTTTAGCATTCAAATCTCTTCTTCATGAGAGTGTGGAAGTCTTCTTGGATGACTTCTCGACTTTTGGAAGCTGCAGGAAACATCTAGAGCAGCTTCGTGCAGTGTTCCAGCAATGCCAAAAGTTTGGTATTTCTCTTAATCCTAGGAAGTACCAATTTGGAGTAACGCACGGGGTGTTGCTTGGCAGGGTCGTCTCGGCTCGAGGCTTGGAGGTGGATCCTGCAAAAGTGAATGTAGTGGAGGAGCTTGAGGCACCATAGACTGTGAAGGAGCTACATGCTTTTCTTAGCCATGTTAGTTATCACCGACACTTTATCTGGCATTATGCTGATATAGCTTTTCCTTTGATGGGCCTCTTGAAAAAGAATGTTCCTTTTGCATGGACCCCTAAGTGCCAAGCTTCCTTTATACAGTTGATGTGAGACTTGACGACTGCTCCAATTCTTAAGCCGCCAGACTGGAATTTGAAATTCCATGTGCATGTCAACACCTCAGCTTATGCTATTGGTGCTGTTTTATGTCAGTTAGTTAATGGTTAGGATCATCCCATCTTTTATTCGAGTAGGCAGTTATCTCTGGCTGAGAAGAATTATACAGCCACTAAACGCAAGGGCTTGGGAATGGTGTTTGCTGTTTCCAAATATCGCCACTATCTGCTGGGAAAGCCATTTCTCTTCTATCTGGATCACTAGGTGCTGCGCTATCTGTCAACAAGCCCTGTTGACATGGCCGAATCACTCACTGGTTGCTTCTGCTTCAAGAATTTGAATTCGAGATCATGTTGAAGCCGGGAAAATCTCATGTGATGCCTAATCATCTTTCAAGATTACCAAGAGAACCTGCCAAGGAAGGAGTTTATGATGAGCTGCCCAATGCTCCTCTTTTCTTGTTGGAGGGCAGACAGGTTTCTGCAGAAATTCCAACTGTCTTCTTAACTCAATCAAAAGCAGAGGAGCTGCTGTTATACCAGGTTGTAGCTGTGCCGGAGTGGTATCAGGGTCTTGCAGAATTTCTTGCTGCTGGCAGATTTCCTAATGATATGCCGAAGGTGGCATAGAAGAGGCTTTTGTGCCAGTCACGAGCTTTCACCTTGATCGCTGGCTAGCTTTATAAAGAGGGAAGAGATGGTGTTCTGAGGCACTACATTCTTCCTCATGAGGTGTAGCAGATGATTGGCTCTTGCCATGATTCTCCCTACGGTGGGCATTATGCAGCAGCAGCGACTAGAAATTAGAAATTAGAATGATAGGTTTCAGGTTAGAAACCTAGCTGCATGAAACCTATAATTCTAATTAATAATGCCTAGTCGCTGCTAGAATTCAGCGACTAGAATTATGCTGTGAGGTTTCTAACTCTTGGTTGCGAAAATCTACATTTTCCTGCTGCCACACGATGGAGTTTGTACAGGGACTCTGCTGGAGGAGGTAACAATGCCGTGCATCGATTAACAAACAGAAACCATTGACTTTTCTCTCCTTTGTTCAGATCGATTCTCCATTAACGGGTAACATGCTTGTAGAGGATGTTGTATCATCCGACAAAAAAAAGGCTTTCTTTCGACGCCTGTTCTTTAAACGTAATCCCAACCTCATCCAGTCGGAGGCTTTACTAACGCCAACGAATGGATTTCGACGCGTGGGTAGTAAAAAGAAAAACAAACATGGCAAAGAAACTGCAGCGCAGAGAAAACAAAGTACGTGGTATAGAAACTTCTTGACTTTAATCAAAGTGTAACTTTTTTTCTTTCTTGTTCTTGTGTTTGTTCCAGACACCACGGATGAGATGAAGGTAGATCACAGTTACTTGGCCAGTCCGTATCACGAAGGGATGGTGGCAGGCCTATCTTTGATCTCTACTAAGATTGAGTCATGCGTATCTTCCAAAGAACAGGCATGGCAATCAAAGTGTTCGCTATTTTCTGCTTGTGACAAAGAATTAATCCTCAACTACTAGTACAGATTCGTGTGATGATCGTTGGGCTTGGTGCTGGATTGCTCCCAATGTTTCTGTACAAGCATTTTCCCTTCAACAGCATTGAGGTAAAGTGTTCTCTTTATTTTTCGTTACATGACAAAAGGTTTTTTCTTGTTTAAGGTAGTGGAGCTGGATCCGGTTGTTGCTGATTTGGCAAAGCGTCACTTTGGATTTGTGGAAGACGATCGCATGCAGGCATGAGAGTCCCCAATTTTCTTTTTCTTCTTAACCAATATATTCTCTTACAGCTGAGACTTGGAGATGGATTAGCCGCTGTCGATGCTATAGCAAAACAAGAGGTATGAGTTGAAAGATCAAACTTGAAAGAAGAAACTCTCAAATATTTCTTATTTCAGATGGAAGAACAAGCTAACAGGGAGAACACTAGACATAAATTGCACATACTACTCATTGACGCTGATTCCTCCGATCCAAGGTTCTGTTCTCTCTTTTCTGTTGATATTTGTTGATAACTCCGTTGCAGTAATGGGCTAAGCTGCCCTCCAGAGGAATTCCTTCTCGAAACATTCCTCCGCAGTGCGAAAGCTGCTCTGGAACCCGAAGGAATCCTCGTCATAAAAGTTGTTTCGCGGGCTCGTGAGCCTCACATACAAGCAGATCAGAGAATGTGTAAAGTAAGCTCGCTAGACTCTCGTTTCTGGTAGCAGTAAGAGCTTACAAGTTGTTCTTGCTTTGCAGACTTTTAGCGAAGTCTACAGCCTGCAAGTCGACGAAGACGTGAACCGGGTGGTGTTTGGATTGCCACAGCCGAGTAACCTGAGAGACTCCACCGCGATTTTTAACGCTGGAGTGCTACTGAAGAATGTCGCGGGCCAGTTTGCTTCGTGGGACAAAGGCCCCAACGTCAAGGACGTACTAAAGAAGATCAAGCGGATCAAGTGACAGTGAGAAGAAAAAGGTCTGGTTTTAGTTTCTTTCCATCTTTTCTCATTCTCTCTGGGGGTTTTTGCGCGAGTTTTCTCTAGAGAAACGCACTGTACAGATGTACCATCGCTATACTTTTTTTGCAAACAAAGAGTCCTAAACGATGATCCTTGGTGTGTCATCGAAATCAAAGGAAAGATGGTTTTTTGCTCTCCTGCAAACTGCATGAGAAGATTCATCGCGTGAATCTCTCAGAAAGCCACAGGAGAGATCGACAAGATCTAATCTGTGCATTGTGTGAATGAGCGACACGCACTAGAAATTAAATCGCTTGTAGCCCCAGAAAAGATGCACGAAAAAGCGAGAAGAATGAAGAATCTCTCCTACATGAGATGAGATCTTTGTCCAGAGAAGAAGAGATGAAAGAAATCCCAGGACATTGCGAAAGGAGATCAGCAATGTAGCATTAGCTGAACGGGCAAAGCTCACGCGATAGAATCTTCGCAGTGCCCCAGTACTAAATGCGCGAGAAAAAACAAAAGAGAGAGAAGAAGGTGCTATGGCGTCCATCAGTCGAACAAGGCAGCGAACAACGAATCGCTGACCCGTGCTATGGAAGCCGCGAGAAATCGTTGTGGCATCCGCGTATAAGCGAGCCGCGAAGAAAGAGAAGCGCCCTAGGGCACACACACAATGCGGCAAAGAGCGATCGCCAGCGGCGAAGTTGTGACAGAGCTGGAGCTCGTCTTCCTCAGGCTGTCCGCGATCGATCTGTGCCAGGCCAGGTGCGTGTGCCGCGAATGGCGACGAGCAATTGACGATCCCATCTTCCGCAAAGGCTACGCTCTCTCCCACCGCTGCATCCCTCACCTCTTCCTTCGTCTCTCTGGATCCCTCCTCGTCAAGCCGCTCGACAGCTCCCCTCGCAACGAGTGGCGCCACTTCCAGACGCTCCCCAACAACATGACCATCGCCAGCAGCGACGCGGGCTTGCTGTGCCTGGCCACGTTTGAGGATAGGTTGACGCTATCATCTATCTTCGTGTGGCGCTACGGGATCTCAACTCCTCCCCGGTGAGAGTTCCGTTGCCGCCAGAGACCGACCCTGACATGAGCTTGATGGTGTACCGCCGCGAGAGGGATCGATCAACGCGAGAGTTTTGCGTCGCTGGCTTCGGGCCATCGCTCGCCTTCTACATCTACGACTCGGCCTCGGGCGTCGCGCGAGAACTACCCAGACATAGGGGACATGGAGGACGGGAATGGTTTCTATCCGATGCTGGATCACGGGGAGCTGGTGATGCTTTGCACGGATACCTGGAGCCTCGTGAGATACAACGTGTGGGATGATTCCTGGCGCATTTTCAAGCTTGATTCCGACGAGTTGGACATGGAATGGAGGTGGTCCTTTCTTCAGCTGGATCGGGATCGGCTGTTCCTGGTTAGTAATGACTTGCTCGCGGAAGATCACGAGGGGCTGATTGTCGTAGAGAGGCGGGGAGAGAAGTGGGAGATTGTTTCGAGCCGTGATGAGGAGTTTGATAATTTGGACGTGTGCACTGTGTGCACTGATGGGAGCCACAGTATATGGCTGCTTGACCGGTTTAACTCGCGGATTACGCACTTTGGAGTCGATTCCAAGAGCTGGTCAGTGGAGGAGACGCCCAAGGCTGTGACAGGATTCGTGGACTTTGCTTGGTTCTCTTGTTAGTGCTGAAAATCGGGAGTTCTTTCTCGAAGAAGATCCAGGGCACTGCTGTGAGCTAATGCTGTGATGATCAGCATCGTTGTTAGAATGGTGGTGAAGGAACAACAAGGTGGTAAATCGCTACTTTGCGAAAAACAAGATTGAGCATGTTTGTGACACGGAAGAAAAGTGTGCACAAGCTCTTGGGGAATAAGGAGTCAGTGCCCCGAGCCAAATCGTTGTGGCATCCGCGAAGAAAGAGCGGTGCCTCAATGTTAAGATGCAAGAACCCTAAAATCAAAAGAATCATATGCAAGAAACTTAACATCACTTTATCATGAGAAACTTCACTCACTTGCTGCTACAACACTGGAGGAATCCATTGTTGTTCTGCACACACTTGTTAATCAGTACTGAGGTATAACGATACTGGCCATTGCCATAGCACTGGGCATTGATGGAAGCAGGACTTGGAGCTGGAGGATGGTACCACGGGGTGATCACTACATTCTGGCACGAGGCAACAAAGTTTCTGCCGCAGTTGAGGGTGCCTCCATTGTTGCTGAAGCAATCGTTAAGATTGATGCTGCTCCTTTGGAGCTGGCCATTGGGCTTGTAACAATTGGCAGTCAATGTTGTGCCGCTTATAACCTCTGAGTTCTTGTCACAGGTATCCTCAAAGTTGCATGCCTGCATCAAAACCAAATTGAGTATGATTAGCTATAGTTCCAGTATGGGCATTTGCAACAAACTAATAGCTTACAGCGTTGCTTGTCCCTGCAAGCGCTACAAGAGCAAAGACTAAGTAGATAATAAACTGCGAAGACATGATAGAATGCGAGTTGTAGAGATTGTGGGTTCTGATCCCACTGTTGGACTTTTATACTGGCAAATGAGAAATTCCAACACGGAAGTGCAAGTAGCTCAACCAAGCTCTTTAGATTTTCCTTAAGAAAAAGAGGGTGGATGGTTCATGTCTATAATTTTTCACCAATCCTTCAAAATAATATCTAATTAATAAATCTTGCTATTTAATAAACAAGAAACGTTATATTGTAGAGAAACAACTCCTACAAACAACTGTCAAATTCCTCAAAAACAATATTCAATAAGAAAATTCAGTATTAAGGCTGAAGGCTAAGGGCATGTTAATTAGAGCTAATGTAATCAAAGTTAAGTAAAGCATTAAACTGGTGAATGCCAAAATCAATTCCAGACTTTTGATGGAGAAGTTGCTGTGGATGAAGCCTTGAGTTGGTGGGGTAAAATTTCAAAGCTCATCCAGGTCCATAGATAATTAGAGCATGTTGTTTATGATAAAGGTTTGGACGATACTCAAGCACTGATCCTCTTGAAGGTTTGTCTCTCCACCAAGCACCTGAAGAAAACAAAGATCTCTGTGAGCTCAAGGAAAGACTGGAGCTCCCAATCCAGATGCCACTGATGTTGTCATGTTTAAGTCATTATCCACTTAATACAACCGCAAGCGGAAGAACTAGAGGTACTGGCGGAGAAGAAAGAATCTCGACTCCAGCGTTCAATGCCAATCAAGATCCATCCGCATGTCCAGAACAAAGGTTGGGAGCTCGGTCATCGCATCACATTTTCTCTTTGTTTCTTTGCTTTAGGGAATTTTTAGGGCCCAAGATCAATGGCCATAAATTAGGGCTCTTGAGGTTTAGGCGCGAAGTGCTTTTTAAAAGAGGAGAAGAATATTCGCGGGGATCTAGGGCTTAGTCTTTCTTTCCCGCCTTGGCCAGATTTTGGAGGAGCTCCATTTCTTGAGAAGGTAGCCGGCGCGCATGAGCTTGAGCACCGCTCTCCACTTGATCCTCTTCGCCGGCGGCATGAGCAGGATGCGCTGCTTGAGGGATCGAAGCTCCTCCAGGGTGCAAGCTTGCGGCAGGCGCTGGCGATGGATATTTCTTCCTTTGGCCGCCCGCGCCGCCAGATTGCCGCCAGGGACAGAGCGCTCGTCAAGGGCTCGGCTGCTCGATTCTAGGCCCGATTGTGGATGGAGAGATCCGGTTCTTGCAGATTCTAGGCGCGATTGAGGACGGGAGGCTTCTTTCTTTGGCGATCGAGCTGGTTTTTGGGACGATTGTGGAGATCTCAGTCCATCCGGGCAGGATTGGGGCAAATCGTCTCCCTTGGTGATATTGCCTTGGAGCGAGCTCCATGCGTGGGAATCGGCCCAGGGCAAGCGATCGAAGCTCTTCTTGGCACGTCTGTGGAGGCCGCTTTTGAGGTATGCCGCGATCAGGGCCACGGCAAGCTCCATCTCTTGCTGCGGCATCCGGTCGAGCAGATCTTTTGCGCGCGTGAGATTTCCGGCACGGAGATACGCGTGGAGCATCGCGGCCCATGCCACCTTGTTCCTCAGCGGCATCCTCTGGAACAGCCTCTCAGCCCGGCCAAGCTCGCCGTCCTTTGAGCGCAACTCGATCAAGGTACTCCAGGTCCCGGCGTTGTGGCAGGGCATCCGATCGAAGAGCGCGTGGACTCTCTGCAAATACCGGCGCTGGGCGAATGCCGCGATGAGGCCGAGCCACACCACCTCGTTGCGCTGCGGCATCTCCTGGAAGATCTTCTTCGCGTATTTCGGATCGCCATGGTCCGCATAGCCGAGCAAGAGCGTGTTCCATGACACGACGTTCCCGATCTCCATCGCCCGCAGCATCGTCTCCGCCGATTCCAGATGCCCATTCCGGGCGTAGGCCGCGAGCATCGCGTTTGAGCAGACAAGATCGCGGGCAGTGGCAGGGAAGCCGTCGAAGAGCGTCTTCGCCCTCTCGATCTGGCCGAGATGGCCCAGCGCCTCGATCACGGCAGTGCAAGCGATCACGGTCTTGTCCGGCATCATCTGGTAGAAGCTCGCGGCCAGCTCCACGAATCCATTCATGGCGTAGGCGCACGTCATGATGTTCCAGGAGAAGCGATTGGGCTCCTGGATTCGATCGAAGACGTAGCGGGCATCGTTCACGGAGCCACACTTGGCGTACATGTTGACGAGGAGATTGGCGAGATAGGTGCTGTGGCGGTGCTCGGTCTGATCGATCCGGGCGTGGACGCGCTTGCCGCCGGAGAGATCCTGGAGCTCCGCGCACGATCGTAGCAGCCGCGCGAAGCTGTCCTCCTTGGCTCGGTGGGCGATGCTGGATACCGAGCAAGCCCGGCTCATCGATCTAGTTCTTCGCAAAGTCACTGGAGGTTTGAAGAACACGATGGTGGATGATCATCAATGGGGAGCTGCGAGGATCTCAGTCTCCAGCGTGATGCACTGGCACGGCGGCTGCGAGCTTGCTCGGATCTCCAGCTCGCCAGGCGCTTGCAGGCGATCGTGAGCGAGAGTTTCGGTTCTTCGCCGGATCTGCTGCTGGGGAACCTCGTGATCGATGCGTTCCGGCGTTGTGGCAGCGCAGAGGAGGCTCGCCGGGCATTCGACGATCTCGCGGCGCCACCCAATCTCTTCTCCTGGAACATCCTCATCTCTGCGTATGCCCAGAACGGGCATCTCCGCGAGGCGGAAGCGGCCTTTGAGGCAATGGATCAGAGGAATGTGGCATCGTGGAACGCGATGCTGTCGGGATTTTCTCAGGAACAGGAGCTGGATCGAGCGAAGGAGCTGTTCGATCTGATGCCCGAGAGAGACATCGTGTCGTGGACAGCGATGGTCAGCGCGTATGCCCAAGCCAGGGATCATCGTTACTTGGCTGCCGCGAAGGAGATCTTCGATGCCATGCCCGAGAGGACGCTCGTCTCGTGCAATGCCATGCTCACGGCCTTGCTCAAGAACAGGAGGATGATCGAGGCCAGAGATTTTTTTCTCCAAGGGATGCCCGAGACGAACACTCTAGGCTGGACTGCCATGGTTTCTTCGCTGGCTGGCATGGGAGACGTGATCCAGGCAAGATGCTTCTTCGACCGAATGCCGGAGATCACAGCTTTGGCCTGGAACTCGATGATCTCGGCCTACATCGCAGTGGACAGGCTCGACCAAGCGGAGGAAATCTTCCAGGGTGTGCCCGAGCACGACTCTCCAAGCTCCACTGCGATGATCGCGGCTTACGGCGATGGTGGGGATGTTGGCAAGGCCAGAGAAGTGATGGATCGAGCTCCCAGAGATGATCTAGCAGTGAGAACCGCGATGCTGGTGGCTTATGCCCGGAACGGGTATATCAACTCCGCCAGAGAGATCTTCGATGCCCATGGCGTCGATCGGCGAGATGTGGCGATGTGGAACGCGATGATCACCGCTCATGCCGAGCATGGCCAGATCGAAGAGGCCAAACGGCTGTTTGACGAGATCCCGGAGAGCAACGTCACAACTTGGAACGCAATGATCACTGGCTATGCTACGAGCAGCCATTGGCGCGAGGCAACCAATATCTTCCACTCGATGCCGGAGAGAAACTTGGTTTCCTGGAACACCTTGATCGGAGCTTACAACCGTGGCGGAGAGATCAACCAAGCTCGCAAGATCTTTGATTCCATGCCGGAGAGGAACACTTTCTCGTGGAACTCGATGCTGGCAGCGTTTGCTCGTCATGGCCGCGTTCTCGAGGCCTTGCTCCTTCTTCCAGAGATGAGCTCGCAGGGATTCTCGGCCGATCGCGTCTCCTTCCTTGGGATCCTCTCGGCTTGCAGCCACGGAGGAATGCCAGATCGAGCGCGCGAGCTGATGCTCTCGATCGATCTCTCGTATTTCGTGGAGCCGGCGGCCAAGCAGTATGGGTGTATCGTGGATCTCTTCGGGAGGGGAGGATCGCTCGAGGAATGCGAGGAGCTTGTCAAAGATTTGAGAGAAGGGGCGGAGAAGAGCGAGGCGTGGATGATCTCGCTGCTGGGAGCTTGTAGAACACAGGGCGATTTGGAGCTTGGATCAAAGATTGTGAGGAAGTTGGCGGGCGAGATGGATTCGAGCTTGTATGTGCTCTTGTCCAACGCTTTGTCTAATAGTCCTGGTTTTACGCGAGGCTAGAATTTTCACCCTATTAGGGTGTATTGGCGGCTTTTTCAAAAGTTTTAGGGCTTTGAGGAGGGAGAGGAAGCGCGCGGGGAGGGCGCGGGATTCCATTCACGATCGCTTCCCATGCCTCGGCAGTGGCTGGAATCCTCGATCGTCTCCGAGCGTTACGACCGCCGCGGCTCACAGGTGGATTGCTTCAGGGTTTTGGGAGCGTGAGAGATTGGGCAATGGGGGATCCCGAGCTCCAGGTGAAGTTTAATGCCGGCTTGGCGGCGGCGAGGAGAGTGGCTGCGCTGATTGTAGGGCAGCCATTTTGCGCCTCGGATTGCATAAAGGCCGAGAATCCACTAGATGATATGAAGATTTCTTTGAGGTCAGTCAGAGAAGTCCCCAGTATCGGTGAGAGAAGTGAGAATGGGCTGCTTGTCGAGGAGCAAGGGAAAGTTTGCGAAGAAGATGAATGCCAAGAAGAGAAAGTCTCACCGCAAGCACACGTCAAGGAGGAAATCCGGTGTGAAGAACAAGTCGATGGAAACAGCTGCGAGATCATACGAGTAGATGCGGATCAAGAAAAGAGCTGCGAACTTGTAGAGAAGGAAGACAAAGCTTGCGAAGTCCAGCGGTAAATTCGAGCTCCTAATTTTGTATTGTTTCGTGATTGACTTTTTACTAGCAGGGAAGAAGGAGATGGCGGAGTTGAAAAAAACAGCTCGGAAGACGAGTACGATGGCGATGGATACATGTCCGAGAGTTCCAGTGAGGTACTTCTAGTGTTTCTTGTCGTTCATCAATGATACTTATGTTTGATGTTCAGGGCTCAAAGTCTGACGAGGAAGTCACAAGGATGATCGATTGGCTGGTGGAAATTGAAAGTGAGGTTTGTATCCTTTTGTTTTGTCATCCAATAGCTGGCTTATCTGTGATGTTATCAGTCAGCGGACGCTCAAGAACATTTGGAAGACGAAAGTGTAAAGAAAGTGGAGGAGGAAGTCAGGCTGGAGTTGTCTGAAACACTCTCTGGACAAGAAGTAAGAAATTTGGATGCAAGGAAAAAAAGCTCATGGACACCATTTTGTTGGTAGCTGGATATGGCAGTTTCTTGTGAAATGGCGGACTACGTTTCCATATGGAAAAAAACGCTTTTGGAGCTTGAAGAGGAGAGTGCAAAGCTTCAGGTTGATTACAGAGCTATTTGTGCTATTGTGATACTGAACCGTCTTCTCCAGGACCGGCTTGAAGATGCCGGTGTGTCTCTACCGGATTTATTCAAAGCTATTGAAAAGCAGGCTGCTGAAGGGTGTATGACGGACACTTGGAGAAACCGGGCTCACTGGGCTGGTACTCAGGCACCTGAAGATTTTGCGGAAGTGCTTCATTCTGCCGAGAAAGATTTGGATGCTCTGCGGCCGGTTATAAGGTTCGTTTTTTACGCATACGGAGCTGATCTAACCTGTGAGATATTAGGCGCCGAGGCAAACTTGTAGAGGAAGGTGCAAGCGGTTTTCTGGAAAGAAAAGTGAACGACGTCGATACTGTAAAGGGCTCCACTGGGTGGGAAGCTTTTGATAGTGCATTCCAGCCAAAACTGAGCGCAGTTAGCTTGTTCGAGTCAAAAAAATGGGCTGCGGTTTACTCCGCCTCGACCCCGGAGCAAGCAGCGCGATTGGGCTTAAAGTTCCCAGGCGTTGACAAGGTATAATGTCTTGAAACGTCAGAAACTAACCTTCTCATGTCAGGTTGACGATATTGCGGACATAGATCAACATGTTGGGATGGAGGCGGCCGCTTTGGCCGAAGAGAGTGAGTTCGGTCTTACGGAGCATCAAAAGAAGACTATGAAGCGGGTATTCATTCCTTTTATTTACTTCACGTACTGACGCAACCTGCAAGCAGGTTAGAGAAGAGGATGATGTGCGGCAGATGCAGAAGAAAATTGGTGCCAGACGTGTCAGGGCAATGGCTTCACAAGTGAAGTCATCAACAAGTGACGTTAATATTATAACCGAGCCTCCTGCAGTACTATCCAAATTGCAGCCCGATACCATTGATCTGGGGACTGCAGGGGACCCGCAGAACACAGATGAATTGCGACTCGAAGAGGAGCAACGTCAGAGTCATGAGCGGCAAACAGGGACGGACCAGGCAGTCGCGGATAACGTGACAACTAGGAACCAGCCATTTATTAATGGAACGCCGTCGCGCAGCGAGGAAAAAGTGAAGAAAGGTGTGGCTCCAGCCAGGGAAGGAACGGATCATATACGCAATGCTAGCTCTTTTGGACGCCCAACCACAGATGGAACGGAGCCTATGCCCGTCTTCATGGAACAGACCGTCAGAGATAATGGAACACAGGCAGAGGCAGTCGCAGATGGAAGTCAATGCCATGACGAAGCAGTTGAAACTGAAGAATTCAAGGTTCTTAAAAGAAGTAACAGTTTTAAAGCCATTGGAGTGAGGACGAGCTCAGCGGGTTTCAATGATGCTAAAAAGCCGACTCCTTCGGTGGTCATTGTTGTCAGCGATGATGATGACGACGATCCACCTGCTGATTGTGGTTCGACTGCACAACCGAGAACAGTAGACCAAGGCAAGGTGCCAAGTAAAGGTTAGCGCGTAATGCTATTCTCTTTAGTTTTAACTCTTGTTTCAGACGTCACTGCGCTGGATGAAACGACTTCTCCGTTAAAGCCTTTGAAACGAGTGATTGAACATGGTTCTTCATCCAGATGCAAGAGAAAGCGTTGTTTCATGGTTAACAGTAGTGAAGATGAGGAAGATGCGACCTCGGCCAAGAAGGAACAATCGGGATTGAAAAGTGATCGTGATGAGCAAGAGGAAAGAAACTCAGACAGCTGCGATTTAAGTCAGAGTAAGCTGTCCGGGGATACCAGGAGAAGGTTGACGAGAGGAAGCAGGAGCTTCGGGTGCACAGTATGCGGCGAGATAATGTCGGCAAAAGACGTACTGTCGCATCCCGTTCTGAAAGTTATAATTTGCACCTCCTGTAAGCAACAGTATGATGATGGCCCGTTTCGGAAGGTAGGGTGTTCCTGGTTCTCTTTTTATTTTTGCTGATCATATCAATTTCAGGATGAAGATGGCTCGGAAGCAGAATGTAGATGGTGTGGTGAAGGTGGAAGTCTGATTTGCTGCGATAGCTGCGACAAGGTTTTTTGCGAGTCTTGCATTGGGAGGAATTTCGGACCTGCGTTTTTGGAAAGCATAGAAGACATATCCTGGAGGTGCTACCTTTGCGATCCATCTCCTTTAGCAAGTTTGCAGCAGTGGCTGAAAGTAGCAGAAGAAGAAGCCTTAAAGGAATCACTAGCTAACTTGGACGTGAGGCGTAATCGGTATCTGTTTTTTTTTCTTTTTTCAACTGCACTCTAGTTAACCTCTCTTTTGTGCAGTAAAAGACAACGAAAGAACATTCGCAGGGTGCTGAGAGATGACGAATTGGACGAGGTTACGAAGCAGAAGTTGGCACTTGAAAAGGTATGCCCTCGAGAAATCTACCTATCATTTTCAATCACTGTTATTGTAGGAACGTCGAGAACGCCTAGCAGAATGGTATGCAGAAGCAAGAAAGGGGAAGTCTCTCTCTGGGAAAGCCGCCAACTCAGAGAAGGCTGTTGAAGGGACAGACGGAGACGATCATATCTGTGAAGGTGATTGCAAAACTGAGGGGTGCGTTATCAACATTGCTAGCAGGCAAACTGGTGAACCACTGGTTCGGATTCCTGCAAGTATATCGAAGCATTTAAAGCCACACCAGGTAATTACTTGAGGCGCATGAAGCTATTAACCTCCCGTTTATGCAACAGCTGTGTGGAGTCCGATTTATGTGGGACAACTGTATTGAGTCTGTGGAGAAAGTCAAATCCGGGGATGTAGGTTTGGGCTGCATACTTGCCCACAGCATGGGACTTGGAAAAACGCTGCAGGTTTGAGTTCTTAGAACTTCCAAGTTATGGTTGTTTTACCATCTTATTTACAGGTTATCGCTTTCTTGTACACGGTAATGAGAAACGTGGACTTGAACTTCAAAACCGTGTTGGTTGTGGTGCCCGTAAATGTTTTGCATAATTGGAAGCGTGAATTCGAGAAGTGGCGGCCTGCAGAAGTTGCGCCTCTGGAAGTGTCGATGCTAGATACTTCCAGGTACTTTCTCTTCGTCATCCTCATACAACTGTTGACGCTGCTACTCTATGCAGGGATAATGCAACTAGAGCGAGCCTTTTGAAATCCTGGAAGGAAAAGGGAGGTGTCATGCTTATTGGCTATGCAGCATTTCGGAATCTTTCGACGGGAAGTCACGTGAAGGACAAGGAAACAAGAGATACTCTATGCAAGTGCCTGCAGGTATTTATTCTTTACTTGGTGTCCATGACGGTTATATTTGTGCTTGTATTATCTAGGATCCTGGCGCTGACATAGTTGTTTGTGACGAGGGTCACACCATTAAAAATGACAAGGCGGACATTACCATAGCACTCCAGCGAGTGAAATCTGGCCGCCGAATAGCCATGACAGGATCTCCTCTACAAAACAATCTGATGGAGTACTATTGTGTAAGTATTCGATGCTGGTGTCATTATGTGGATTAATTGATCTTACAGATGGTTGACTTTGTGCGGCCTGGGTTTCTGGGTCCTCAAGCAATCTTTCGTAACAAGTAAGACTTTCGACTGCTGGAAAGTGGATGTTAATGAGGTCCTTTGCATGTAGGGTCCAGAATCCAATAGCAAATGGTCAACATGCCGATTCTACTCCGGACGATGTAAAGAAGATGAAACGGACAGTGCATATTCTGCATAAACGTCTGAGCGGATTCGTGCAACGACGGGACATGACTGTCTTAAAAGATGAACTCCCTCCAAAGTGCGTATGGGTGATCTCTGTCCGCCTGTCTCCCTTGCAGAAACAGCTATACAAAAAGTTTTTGAGCTTATGCGAAACTGGGAGGAGCAAACTCTTCGATCACTACCATGTTCTAGCCAAGGTAATAACTGAAGTCCGATCTCAACGAGCTCATGGTTTTTCTTACAGATATGGAACCACCCGGATTTGCTAGCTATTGCAAAAGAGCAACGATTGAACGAGGAGTTTATTGTAGACTCGGAAAAAGAAGATAGCGCCGAGAATGGACAAGGTGCAATGGATTTTTACTCCTAAGTTGGTTCTGACTACTCTTTTTTTCTTTTCTGGCCCAGGATGTCCAAAGCGGGCTTCCCCTGAGGTAAGTATATTCGCAGTTTTTTTATCTTGGAACTGACTGTAGTTTATTCAGGCTGATAGTTTCGAATGGTGTGAAGAGATTCTTAAAGAGTCAAAGCGGGATGTTTTAGAAAACAGTGGAAAAATGGTCCTAATTATGACACTGCTCTCACTGAACTCGTCGCGAGGTGAAAAGACTCTAGTATTCAGCCAGAGTTTGCACACGCTCGATTTGATTGAAAATTTCTTGGATACAATTCCACTTGGAGGTAGCCAAGATGTTTGGAACAAAGGGAAAGAATGGCTAAGGTACACTCTTGTTCATTTCTCTGGCCATCTATAAAATCTTGGCAAATGCACAGGCTCGATGGCAACACAACTGCGAGTCGGAGGCAGCAGATAGCGGACATTTTCAACGATCCTAACAACACAGCTATTAAGTGTCTTCTAATTTCTACCAAGGCTGGCTCGCTGGGTACTAATATGACCGGCGCTAACCGTGTCATCATAGTTGATGGGTCCTGGAATCCTACTCACGATTTACAAGCTCTTTTTCGAGCATGGAGGTACTTATTTGAAATCTTCTTCAGATTTTGTGGTGTTCATTGGTTTTATTTAGATATGGGCAAACGAAGCCTGTGTTTGTCTATCGATTGCTGGCGTACGGGACTATGGAAGAGAAAATCTACAATCGCCAAGTAAGCTTTACTGTTTAAGAGGCAAGTCTAATGTTCAACAATGACAGTTAACGAAGGAAGGCATCGCTGCGAGAGTGCTTGACGCCCATCAAGTTGGCAGGCATTTAAACGCAGACGACCTGGAGCTTATGTATACTTTGGATGACGATGACGACGAGGAGGGAACTCAATTGGCCGGAACCGAGCAGCAACAGCAGCCTGGTGCCAAGGGTCAGAAGCCCAAGCACAAAACGTTTTTTGTGCCCTCTGACGCCCCTCCACGAGATGATCACATGGCGATGCTTCTCTTGGACTTTAGGCCACAGTATGGCTCTCCTTTTCTGATCGAATTCTTAGTAAGTTCACTTTTTTCGCTTTTATGTTCACGCAGGTGGATTGCGCAGTATCACGAACACGAGCCCCTGTTAGAGGACTTGGAGGAGGAGAAACTGACACCAGAAGAGATGAAGACGGCTTGGGACGGGTATATAATTGAACACGAGCTGCAGAATCGACAGATACCAAGCCAATCCCCGACGAACTATCCACCACAGTCGCAATATCCAGCCAGCAGCACCGATGTTCGTCCTCCTTTCACTGCGACTCCCTCCAAGGCAGCTTGCAACGACGTTTATCACGCCAGCCTTTTGGCATCACTGTCCATTCCCGTTGGTGGTTCCGTGGCTTGTGGTAAGTGCCTGCAGAGAGTTCGATGGGAAAATCTCGGAATTCCCGATTTCAACAAGCAGCAGCAGCAGCAGTAGCAGTAGCAGCATCACCACTTACAAAAGTACATATAACATTTTTTCTCGTAAAACTTTTCGCGACTTTAACTACAACCAACTTAAGTTTTCGACGCTTGTCGCATGGAGGAGGTGACACGTATGGTGACACGCGTTTGTACAGGTCGGTATAGTTTTCGGTATAACTAGTCCTGAACTAAACCATCTTCTTTGCGTTTTCTTATCAGGAAAGCGGAGGTTATAGCGATGGGGATTGACGATGGTGCAACTGCTGATGCTAACCGGCCACCACCCGCTACTATTGCAGGCGTAAGCGATTGTTTCTTTTTGGATTTTCGTTGATGGTTTGTTTTCTTTTCTCCATCAGGCTTTGAATTCGGCCTCTCAGTCGTTGGTGGGATCCAAGCCTCTCGAGGCCAGTGACATACAAAGCGCGGAAGCTCGAGCCACTGGAATTCCGGCCGGCGTGAAAGGTGGTGTCGGAGCTGCTGCGCAGCATGCAGTGGACAAAGGCGAGCCGGTTACAGTCGGAGACGTGCTTCGTGTGAGTATATCTCTTTTTGTGCTTTTCGCTGCGAAGGTACTTATCTTTTTGTTCTTCTTTTGGTCCTGCAGACACCAATTCCAAAGGGTGGTGACAAGATCGTCACGCAGGCTGATGCTTCACGAGTTCAGAGCGCCGAGCAGCGAAACAATCCCGACAGCGTCGTTTCTCCGGGTGGTGTCGCTGCGTCGATGCAGTCAGCCGCGGATCACAACAAGGCTGCAGGATACGCTTGAAGGGAACGAGAAGAGAAAAGAGTTCCTTCGTCTTTAGGGGCTTTGGGAGGGATTCTTTCTTTTTCCTTTCCATGGTAGGAAACAGGCAGAGCAGAGACGACCATTGTCTGTGAGTAGCTGTTGGAAATCCAGAGGGGAAGTTTCGGAAACGTGCTTTGTGCATTAGATGGCCAACTTCTCTCACTTTCATCACGAACACTTTGCCGCAGCGGAAGTGTAAGAAGAGAAAAAAAAAAGCGGGTCTCTTTCTCTTTTCTCTTCCACTCTGGCTTGGGAGCAGCGTTTTGTCACTTGATGCTTCAATACCATACTCGCGCAAAGGGGTTTAATTCTCGTGCGACGTTTCATTCAAGGATCAAAATCAGTCAGGAAGTCAGGAGGGGTCGCTGTTAGAAATGCCTTGAATGCCAAGAGGTGAAAATGAGATACTGGGGATTTTAAGCTCTCTCAATTCAATCACTTGAGTTACTACTGACCTGTCACAATATTCCCATCATTGGTTGCAAGGATTTGCCTTGCTACTTGTACTGTTACCTAGTGTTTTGTTTAGACATGTAGCTGTACCTCACAGGAGTTTAAATCCAAATGCTTCTGCATTAATAATGTCTATAACATGTCATGTTGTGCCTAGCCTAAGTAGTGCTATTTTCCTTCCTTTTTCTCCCTTTTGTTTCCCCATTTCTTAAAATACCCAGTGTCCTGTCTAGAAACATGCTTTGCTTCACATGACAATTCCTCAAGATTCCATGACAAGAAGTTGAATCCAAGCAATGTTCCCTAGAACCACAAAGTTGCGTCTATTGCTGATGTAATGTGCTGCTTGTGATTCTTATTTCCATCTTATTTCTAGGGGGACACAAGATCAGATATGCCTTTTGACCAATCCAATGTTTATGACTTTGCTCACATCACCGCACATACACAAATCACCCCTCAAGAGCAAGAAATCTATTTGCTGCTGCCATGCCTGCCAAATCCAGTAGAAAATTCAAGAGAAATTTCAGGCTGAATGGATATCCAGCTTTAGTCCAGCACAGACCAAGCCTTACCAGCATCTGCTGCAATTTGCAGATCTTTTTTTTCTTCTCTCAAGCATGATCAAGCAAGATCTTGAGAGAGGAGGTGACTGCAATTGCATTCTCTTGGTTGGTGAGCATAGGATATCAGAAATTCAATTGCAGTCTGCTGCATGCAGCCAGCCATGTGTTTGCGTGCACCTAAAAGCCTGAACTTTTTCCAGATGATTGGTTTGGTGATTGGTGTCCTCCTTTGAACAAACTTTCAGTACTCTTTTCTTTCTTCTGCCGCGCAGTTCTTTTTTACTCATTTTTTTTCCCGCTAGGGAATACTTGCTCTTGTGAAACTGGAGGTGGTGGATCAATCAGTCAAGAACAGTGGTCACATTGAGGTTGATCTTTGGATTGGAGGTCACACAAGAGACAAAGGGGGCTGTTCCTCTCCCCCTCACAATCACAGTTGCCAAATCCTGGAATGTATTTAGACAGGACAGGGTTTGAATCAGAAACATGTTATGTTAGCCTCACTCAAAACATGTCTCCTGACAAATCACTCAAAAACTATTCCGCTCTTTTTTATATTTTCTCTCTTTTATTTCGTTTTCATCACTTATATTATTTTTCCACACATAAAATAAAAGGCATTCTCAGGTGTGGAATTGGTTTTTGCCCATTTTCAAATCTAGGCCATTGGATCAAGCCGGCCGACGGTCCGGATCTCGTCCCAACCCACCTGACTTCCCGTGCCCGTTGACCACCCAATCCGCGCCGTCGGATCGCCAAGTACACGGCGGATTCACGTGCTACGTGTCTCATTTCTACTGCCGCTTAGCTCCAGTGGCACTGTGGATCGTTGGATGGTCCACGCCACAAAAACAAAGGCATGAGCTGTGAAAACATTGGTTTCTTTTTATTCTTCTTTTTTGTGTGGGGGAGGAGCGAGCGAGCGAGCCACTGCCATCAAGGCCGATCGCAAACAAAGGAGAGAGGAAATTTTTCTAGATGGCGCGGGAGAAAGGAGAGAAAAGGAATGTAGCAGCTTTCCAGTGTCGATCCATGGAGTTTTTTTTCTCCTCCTTTTCCAGAGTGGTCTCTTGATGGTTCCATCCCATAGGCGCCTTCCATTTGTTTTCTTTCGCTCCACTGTTTGGGATTTTTTTGTGATCGCCCACTACTCATCCTCGATTTGTTCTCGTTTTTTTTTTCTTGTGGGTTCCCTCAAAAGCTGGAATTGTCACCGCCCACCAGATGGATCATCCCAGCAGATGAGGATCCAGTTCTCCTCATTCCTCCATCTTAGTTTTAAGCTCTTTCTTCCACCAAAGATCATTAACAAGGTTAGGTAGTGTTCTTCCAGTGATCGAATCCACGCGAGGGAGAATGAAGAGCAGCCCGGAACGCATCCAAGGTAGTGGCTTCCACCACAGCTTTGCATCCAAGTCCTCGGATTTCAAGGGCAGCTTCCTCCACCTGGAGAACATCCAGGAGGATTCGGCCGTGAGCTTTCCATCGCCAACCCCGGGATTCCCCGAGCCGGAGACGCCGCAAGAGCCCCTCGAATTCCTCTCGAGGTCGTGGAGCATTTCGGCGTTTGAGGTGTCCAAAGCTCGAGCGGCATCGCAAACTTCCATCGCGACGCCGCCGCCGCCGCTGCCGTCGGCGCAGGATGATTGCTCCACCACGATCTCTTCCTCGCAAGAATCCAACTTGGAAGGAGCGCCTTTCGTGTTCGCTCCCTCGATGACTTCGCAGATGGTCATGGACAGGATAATGGTGAGAGTTTTTAAAGCTTTTCTCTTTGTGTTCATACGTGTTCTTCGCAGGAACACTCCTTGTTCACAACTCCCCGGAGGAATTCCCACAGCAGTGGACCATTGATTTTCCACCAAAACAGCGGCATTCTGGCCGCCAGCCCTCCGCCATCGCCCAAGCAATTCACAGACGATCACCTCCATCCCCACCACCAGGTAAAGAACTTTGGCAAGCTTTCTCATCGAGCAAGAACGAATAAAATCTCTTTTTTCCCTTGTTGGTCGCTTGGATTTGCGTCGCTCTTCTCTCCAGCCCACTGCCGCCTCCAAATCATCCCATCAGCTTCGCGGGAGATCATCCGTGGGACGATGGTTTAAAGACATGAAAGAGCGAAAGAAAGAGCTCAGCCGAGCACATAACGCTCAAGTCCACGCCGCGGTTTCTATGGCCGGAGTTGCAGCGGCGGTGGCGGCAGTGGCAGCGGCTACAGCGGCGGCGGCGACACCATCGCCATCGCCATCGCCATCTCCGTTTTCTCCAGCGCTGGACGATCCTTCCTCGTCGTCCAAGACGACGAGCTTGGCTGTCGCTTCCGCGGCCTCGCTTGTCGCGGCACAGTGCGTGGATCTGGCCGAGAGCTTGGGAGCCGATCACGATCACATCACTCACGTTGTCAGCTCCGCCGTGAACGTGAAAACAGCGGGAGATATCATGACGCTTACTGCCGCGGCAGCCACTGGTAAGCTCTAAGTTCTGTCAAAGTTTCATCGAGTTCTTGCGTGGTTTCTTCGTGTTCTTACTTTGTTTGATCTTTTGATCTAGCTCTGCGTGGAGCCGCGACTCTCAAGGCTCGGACGCTCAAGGACGCAAAGAGCCATGCAACCGTGACTCCCTACGACAAACACGCCTTACATTTTAACAGTGGCGACCTGGGATCCGAGGATGGCGAGGCCGAGAGCTACACGCAAGAGGTTCTTAACAGAGGATGCGAGTTTCTCAAGCGTTCCAAGAAAGGTAGCGGAGAAAAAATCGATCTCTTTAATTGACTCCTTGTTGTAGGCGAGCTACATTGGAGAACTGTGTCAGTGTATAGTGATCCCAACAATGGCCAGGTTTGTGAACATTGCTTTAGGAAATTCTAGTTTATGTTCTCATGGTCTTTGATCCATCACGCAGGTAATTGTCAAGATCCAAAGCAAGCATATGGGACTAAGGAAGAAACGAAAAGGTTCGTTTGTTTTTCATTTCTCCTTGACCAAGGTGGCATTTTGATGCGAAGTTCTCTCTGTTTGATCTAAACAGGCATTGTTCTCGACGTGGATGCTAACATTCCCGCATGGCCGGGACGATCGCTGCTCGACAACGGCGAGCAGCGGCGATACTTCGGATTGAAAACCGCGACTGGAATGCTCGAGTTCGAGTGTAAGTCAGAGTACGAACACCGGCTATGGACACAAGGCATAGCTCATTTACTCCATCTCTCCAGCCAACATTCTGTGGCACTCACCACAACTTCCACACAATCATCGACTAAAAGGCCATAGCCAGGCCAAAGAAAAAAAGAAGATAGAATGAATATAGTTCTATTTGTTCTCGAGCTGGGAGCTATGGAGCCAATTCAACACACAAGAAAGCAAAGAAGTGTATAGCAAAGAGAAGAAGAAACTTCTTTCTTTCTAGTAGTACGGAAGAGTAGCACTTTGCTGCGTTAGGGAATCGAATGCGACGGGAAAATGCGATTGCTAATCGATTTCTTTCTGGATTCCAAGCTCGATTTCTTTGTTTTTTGAGCTCAACCTCTTCGCGTGGAGCGGAGGAGCGTTTTGCTGGGCGCTGGGACGCTGCTGGCGTCTGGAGTGCTGCAAATTTCGAGCCGGCATTTGCAGACGTGAAGATAGCTTTGATGAATGCGGAGGCGACTCGAATTCCATGCCATGGTTTTTTTCCTCGATTGCTGTTTGCTTTTATATTTGCATTCAAGAAAACAGATCTTTCATTCTCTTGGAGCTCCTCTTCTCTTTCTCCTCGTTGTTTGTAAGTTCTCTCTCACGTAAAATTGCCTCCCCAGGAGCTTTCAGAGGACAGACAACTGGGACTGGTGGAAAAGTAACATGTTTTCAGTGCCGGTTCGGCTTGACCATCACAGAGTCTTTCAAAATGTCAATCCACAGTGTTAATCGCAAGGAGCAAGAGAAAGATTTTAGTCACAGCATTGTGAACTGGCTGAAAAGCTGGATTCGTGGCTTTCCCCGTCACTAAGATGCAATGCAGTGAGCTTTTGTTTTGTAGGTATCATAACAGTTCTCTCCTTTTCGTAGACCGAGAACCTCCCACTCGAGAAAAGAAAAGGTTCGTTACTTTCTTTTCTCCTCCATCGCCATGTTCAAGAGAAGTTTTCTTTCTCCGTTCTCGTCGACGTGGATGCTAACATTCCACGATCACTGCTCGACGATGGCGAGGAGATGGAGTAAATGAGCTTATGCCTTGCGCCAAGTGCTTGTACTCTGACTTACACTCAGACTCGAGCATTCAGTCGCGGTTTTCAATCCAAAATATCGCCATGCAAGTGTAAAGCCAATCCACTTTTTGATAGTAAACCATGGTACTTATACATTAGCTTAGTAAAACAACGATGAGCTAGGGTTTAACAGAGTACCATTGGATATTAGCCTACCAGCGCCAAGCAAATTCAGTTTCTTTTTTATTCTTTCTAACAGACTGCAATCAAACTCAAGCCAAACTGTTGCAATAGCGAGACAACGTCTTTTCTTGCACTAAAAAACCATTCTCTTTAGCATTGTTTACTTTCCCATTGCTTATCTGCAACCTAGGGTGGCCACCTAGAATAAATCTCTGGATATGGGTGCGTTCAAAACAATTCAAAAACAAAACAATCTCTACCCAAAATTTATCCATATGAAACTTTATATGTATTATACTTCTATAGGTATTCACACCCTTACAGTACACCTATCTGAACCCTAAAAAAGAGTAGCCACTGTGATCTGTCACGCCCTGAAACTAGCACACCCAGCCATCGTAACTCTAGCCTGTGGAATTCACCTGGAATTTCTATAGCTTCTTCTTTCCCGCACTGTCCCAAGTCTCGCCCAGATCATGATCATCCTCCCAGACAGTGACCGTACAGTAACCAAACGGATGCCAATAGTCAAACGACCGGCGATCACGGGAATTCACATTTTCCAAAAAGTCTCTTACCTCACAGCTATTGCAAGGGATTCAATCGATTCGTGCCCGCCAGAGCGCCGCAGAAGCCTGGGAAGCATGCACTAGACAAAAATTATGAAACCAACTCTGCGATCACTTGAAAACATGTTGCTTTGAACAACGTTCCACCATGTTGTCTGTAAAATTCCACTATACCTACAGAGGACAAAGAACAGTGGAGCTCTAAGAGCCACCTGCCGCGAGCTCCGCGGGCGCCATGCAGCAAAGCGCTAGCCCCCCAATCTTCGCCATGGAAGAAAGTAACTCTGAACTGTAACCTGTGATTGCAGCCTTCTGAATTCGTCTAATACTTTGTACCTTGAACCCATGTCCAAGAGTACGATCATGGTGGCTGATGGGTTTGCAGTATGAGTTTGGGTGGCTTTGCTGGACAATCTCATCAGCATCGAGCTGAGTGTGTTTTGTTTTTGGCCTCAGGATTCTTGTATGTTGCAAGTATACGAAACAGAAAACGAAACAACTATCTTGGAGAATTTGGTTCAGCTGGAGCTCTTACCATCAAAGGACCACGGTAGAAAAGCAACAAAGGAGACGAAGAAGAAGAAACCAACAGACTACCTGGTAGCCACGCTTTACCTGCAGGTATTTATTGATGCTAGAAGATCCTACCAGCGTTCCGAGCACACTCAAAGCATAGGTCCCTCTTACCTTAACTGTCCCAATTTTTATTTGTAAGACTTCTCTTTCATACACTTAGGGGTGTAGGAGTAGTAAACATAGCAAACAAAGTCCTAATTACTCGTTACTCCAGATAATCGAGGAGGATGGCATTATTTCATCAAGATGTCTCATGTTTCAGAAATCAGGTAACTTTGACTAATGATCCGGACAAAGATATTGGTGCTTGGGGGACTAAACTTGTTGATCTTAGTCATTGCAAGTGATCCGTCTCAAAATTTATAAAATTAAAGCAAAAACATTTTTTTTTAAAAATCAAAAAGTGTTTCTTTTTGCTTCCACCAGCGCATGAAATTATATTGAAGCACTGTTCTGGCCAGGGATAATCCAATCCTTGGCTCCTCGTCCAAAGAGATTGCATTTGGCGAAAGTACTGTAAATATAGTTGATGCCCAAAACAGTGACTTCGGTCATCTATGAGGCCTTTCCACTGCTTGCAAATTGATTTTACGTGGGTGTTTAGAAACACTGCTGGCAAACGCACCAATATGTTTGGGCACAACGGCAAGAGCTTCATTGTCTTGAATTCCCTCACTAGGGCCTCTCACGAGGGATCTCAAGGTCCTGCCACCCTTTCTTGTTCTTGTTACCCTTGATCCCCACGTCTGTGACCATGCACGCATCCAGGCAGCGCTATTGCATTTGCGTTTCGATTATGCGTGTAGTCTACTTATACGATTCGAGTGTGGAAAAGGTGGCGCCGCCTGAAAGCATGGATGTATGGGCGATCGACAACAAGGTTCACTTCTATTGTCGCCATGATGCTACCAGGGAGTTTTGTGCCTGGAAACTTTAAGCTGGTCTACAAAGTGGACGATCCACGGGTATAATATGCAAAGCCTATGTCCAGCATTAGATATTTTCAATGTCTTTGTGAAAGACTCCACATATCATCTCTCGAGGCTGGACGCTGCATCGGGAGGCTTTGTCGAGGAAACTAGTGTGCCTCAAAATGTGAAAGAAGGCTTGTCTCATGCTCCATCTTGCTGCTACAAGGACACGATTGTGGTTGCCGGTCCCAAAACATTAGCAGTGCTGGAGTGCAAGACCAAATCTTGGAGCACTCATGAAAACCAAAACGGTTCAAAGTTTGATTTCTTGCTTCCATTTGAGTTGTCTGATCCTTCTCAATGAAAGACAATTCGCTAACATCTATCTATATATATATATATATATATATATAACGATAAGACGAGGGGCTTGAGGCCGTCTGGTCGCAGACATGGTCATGGGAAATTTTGTTGATGTTGCTGTTGGCCAATGGGAGAGCGAGAGGATTGGGTGGAGCAGAATTTTGACCGGAGAGGGCGGCGAGGGTGCTGGGTAGATTGCATGGCAGGGCTTTGAGGGAGTGATTGTTTTTATGGTGCTATCACGAGACCAGGCACGGCAAGGAGCTTGCTGGCCGTAAGACGTAAAGGTGTGTCATTTTTCTTTGTAAAAGGTGCTGTGGATGTTTTGCTCGCGCTCCATTTGTCTCCATCTTTATCGTAATTTGCCAAGCAAGAACATGAAAACTATCACATGGCAAGGAAATGGAATACACGAGAGAGTTATCATTACATAAGAGTAGAGTGGACCTCAGGTACATGCTTTTGGTAAAAAATTGACGTTTCTGTGATTGTGTGTGTGGTTCTCAGCCTGTGAATAAAACTTTTCTATTCTTTCCTTGATTTTGGTCTGCGATTAACACTGTGGATCACTGGAAAATCCTCGGGACATTTTTGGAAGAGTCTAGATGATGCTCAAGGCGAACCGGCATTAGACACGGTACGATGATTCAATGCAGTGAGCTTTTGTTTTGTTCTCCGGATCGATACACTCTGAGCATATGGGACTAAGGAAGAAAGAAAAGATTCGTTACTTTCTTTTTATCCTCATCAAGGTGGCATTGAAGAGAAGTTTTCTGTCTTAAACAGACATTGTTCTCGACGTGGATGTAACATTCCCGCGTGGCCTGGACAATTTTGGATTGAAAACCGCAACTGGAATGCTTTGGTCTGCGAGTATGAGCACAGGCTATGGACGCAGGGCATAGCTCGTTTACTCCATCTCTCCAGCCAACGGCACTGACCACAACTTCCACACAATCATCCATGTCAGGTGGTAGATGACAAAACTGAGCCGATTCGAAACCTTAAAAAGTAGAAGATAAAATGAATATATGGCTTCTTTATGCTCAAGACGTGAACGCCATTGTTTTGTTTTCTTATTCATTGACAAGAATCAAACAACGATGGTTCAAATAGAAGCAAGCACTCAAAATTGGAAACGTTTTGGTTTTCATGTTTGCTCCAAGATCTGGTTTTGCAATCCAGCACTGCCAATGTTTTGGGACCGGCAACCACAATCGTATCCTTGTAGCAGCAAGATGGAGCATGAGACAAGCCTTCTGTCACATTTAAACTAGTTTCCTTCACAAAGCCTTTAGATGCAACATCCAGCCTCGAGAGATGATACGTAGAGTCTTTCACAACGACTTTGAAGAAATCCAGCGCTGGGGATACAAGAAAATCTTCCCAAGGCGTATCATACCCATCGATTGTCCACTCTGTAGACCAGCTCAAATTTTCCAGATCCAGGCACAAAACTCCCAGGCGACTGGTATCAACATCATTGAGTCTTAGACAATAGTAATACACCTTGCTGTTGATAGCCCTTGCATAGCAATGTTGCGTCCATCCTTCTATCCATCCTTCTGGCAGTGCCACCTCTTTCCAAATCCCTACACTCGAATCGTATAAGTAGATTACACGCATAAATGCAAGGCAAATCCAATAGCGCTGCCTGGATGCGTGCATGGCCATGACGGACGTAGAGAGCATGGGCGGTGACGAAGGCGGCGGTGGGAGGACCTGGAGATCCCCAGTGAGGGGATTCATGACAACGTAGCTCCTCATGCTGCACCCAAACATTAGACCACCAGCGCATGAAATAAGATTGAAGTCAAGTTCTGGCGGGGGGTCTACCATAATCCAATCTTTGGCTCCTCCTTGTCCGAAGGGATTGCACTTGGCAAGGCTACTACCAGAAATATAGTTGAGGCCCAAAAGAATGGGGGGACTTCGCTCACCACCAGAGTGGTATTTGTGGTGGAGAGACTTAAACCGAGGTGACTCTATGAGATCTTTCCACTGCTTGCAAACAGACTTTACGTGGGTGTGTAGAAACGCTGCTGGCAAACGCACCAATACCTCCTCCTCGATTACCTGGAGTAACGAATGGTCCATTACTACAAAACTGTTTGCCCTAAGTATACACAAGTGCCCTTTTTATAAAGAAAAATGGAAAAGGTTAATAGAAAGGTAAAAGGCAACATTGTTAAAGAAGGATAGACTTCCATGGCGAAGAATGGGGGAGCGCTACCGCTTTGCTGCATGGCGCCCGCAGAGCTAGCGCCAGGGAATCGAATTCGGCTGCAAAATGCGATTGCTAATCAGGTGTGGCGCCATTTCATCGATTTCTTTCCAGATTCCACGGTTTTTTCAGCTCAGTCTCTTCGCGTGGAGCGGAGGAGAGTTTTGCTGGGCGCTGGGACGCTGCTGGCGTCTGGAGTGCTGCAAATCTCGAGCCCGGCATTCGCAGACGTGAAGATTGCGTTGAGGAATGTGGAGGCGACTCGAATTCCGTGCCCTGGTAAGATTGTCTTCTCAGTGCTGCTTGGCATTCATGGATCCAGCGAAGCTTTCGTTCTCTTGGAGCTCTTCTTTTTCTTTCTCCTCGTTGTTTGTAAGCTGTCGGTTCTCTCTTTCACGTAAAATCAATGACGCTTGCCTCCCTAGGAGCTTGTGCAATTTTTCAGAGGGACAGACAACAGTGACTGGTGGAACGTCGTTCAAAGCAACGTGTTTTCGAGTGACCGGGGAAGCCACGAATCCAGCTTCTCAGCCAGTTTACAATGCTGTAAGTGAAAAAGATTCTCTGGTTCATGGGCTGTGATTAATATACTCACCTGTGAATCATCAGGACATTTTTGGAAGAGTCTATGATGCTCAAGGCGAACCGGCATTAGATACGGTGTGATGAAGCAATGCAGTGAGCTTTTGTTTTGGATCATGACATTCCTTTTCTTTTCGTAGACCGAGAACCTCCGGATCGATACGCTCGCCGAAATACCTCCCGGCAAGAGCAAGGTTTGCCTAATGGAAGGAAAGAGAACTTCGCTCACGCATTTTGTTCTTCCAGGTCTCCTTCCAGATCACAGTTAGCGAAGAACAAGCCAAGCTTGGGCCTCTAGAGCTCAAAAATTTCAAAGCGACAGGCTACCTTGGCAAAGTAAATAGCAAACAGGCAAGCTTTCTTATTTCTTTTGTAGTTTTTCTAAAAACAAGAGAAAATGTAGGGATCCGGTCGTCTGGATGATATCGATTTCAGCGAATTGGACAGTGACTAAAAAGAACTTTGCAACGTTGTGTAATTTGTGATTTACATCAAAACGTTAACAAAAAAACACACATAATTTTCGTAGTAAATAAAAAGGATTGACAAACAAAACCACTTTCGCCGTTGCCGGGGATCGAACCCGGGTCGTCCGCGTGACAGGCGGAAATACTTACCACTATACTACAACGACTTGACCATGTGAAAATTGTCCTGGTAAGCTTTGTAAATATTAGACGAATTTGCCCGGATTCGAACCCTTACATTTTCGACGGTATGGATGAGATGTCACAAATGCGGCCCGTCCGATCTTAGGTCACTCCACGATAAGAAGCTGTGCGAGGCTAGGGTTTGCAGTGTAGTTCTTTAGGTTTTCTTCTGCGATGGAAGATGATGCTGATCTTTCCCCGTATGATCGACACTGATTCGGCGATTTTCTTATTGAACAGCCCCTCTGGGGCGTTCGAAGCCAGAATACTCTGATTCCTTCTTCATCGCGTCTTGCTTGTCTCTTCTCTTTTTTCATTTTCCTTGTGGAAAAGCGGCGAAGGTGATGTCTAATCTTTCCCCGTATGATCGACACTGATTCGGCAAAATCTTGTTGGCTGTCCCTCGAGGGCAGCTAAAGCCAGATCGATCTGATTCGCCCCCTTCTCTTTTTTTTCAAGCTTTTTTCGTAATGGGTTGGGTGTGATGAAGCTTAGAACCTTACCTACATTGTCTGAAACGCTGTGTAGAGACCAAACTTTAGAGGCTGCTTCTGACCCAACGCGAATGCCCATCTCCGGCATCTCGAAACCAAGCTTTGAAGCGATCAAAACTCGTAGAGAACGTTTTGTTTCTCCAGATGCCATGGCAAAGGTTTTGGATGAACTTTGAGCTTTCAAATCGAACACACCAGAACTTGTTTCGCAAACTCGCAAGCTATCCAGCAAATGCCCGGTATGGGCATCTTGAAAGAACAAAGAAACGTTTGGGACGAAAATTTAGGGCTTTTCTGGAATGGCGCTGGTTGTGATGTGTGGGCAGCCCTGCAGCGGCAAATCGGCGGCGGCCGCCAGCCTCATCCGCGGCCTTGAAGCTGCGAGCTTGCCACACGCGGTGAAGCTCATCGATGAGACGTCGCTGGGGTTGGATCGAAACGAGAGCTATCAAGGTGAGTGAGAACCATTCGTGTTTGTTCTACAATGTGGTCACGATCTTCTTTGTGGGAATTTTAGATATGTTTCACGAGAAGAACTTGCGAGGACTGCTGAGATCGGCTGTGGATCGCGCGGTCACCAAGGAGGTGATTGTCGTCATTGATTCACTCAACAATATCAAGGTAAGAAAAGCGGTCTAAGCTTTTGGAAGTTTTTCTCGATTGTTCTTGCAAGAACAGGGATATAGATACGAGCTTTGGTGCTTGGCCCGTGCTGCTGGAGTCCAATACTGCGTGGTAAGGATCTTCCTTGGTTTTTCTTTCGTTCTTTTATTCTACTTGACGAGTTAAGGCTTTCTAGATCTACTGTGACGCAGGTGAAGATGATTGCCGGAGCTGGAATAAGTCGAAGTTTGATCGGGGCGATCCTTGCTATGATGATAAAATGTAAGCTCTCACACTTTGGATGACCGTAAGCATGGGAGATTTATGAAACAGATTTGACGACTTGGTTCGAAGGTTTGAGCGTCCTGATAGAAGGAATCGTTGGGATACGCCACTGTTTGAGTTGAGACCATCTGAAGGTACTCTCTTTTCTTTCCTGTTCTTCGGTTAAGATCACGGGCTTCCTTGCAGGAGAGTTCACAGAATCGTCTACACCAATTGTAGAGGCTGTTGCGTTTCTCACTGGAAACGAGAAAGGGAGAAAGGTTTCTCGGATACTCCAGCCAACAATTGCTACTCAAACTGTTAAGTAAAACACGGAAAAGCGTTTGAGCACAACTGATGAAGTCGCTTCGCTGCAGGCACGGATTTCCGAGACAAACTCGCTATACGAGCTTGATCGTGCCACTCAGGTACCTGCAAGAAAACCATTCTTTCTATTAGCCACACCACTGTTTTCCCAGGACGTGATCAACGCTCTCGTCGAGTCTCAAACGCAAGAACTTGGCTCACTCGTGGATATTGGAGAAGGATTGCCGAAGATATCCTTTGTTCCTTCTTTGTTCTCGACGATCAAACTCCAAATTCTCCTTGACTCCTTGGAACATCAGGTTGCAAAAACGAATCGGCCTCCCAGAGCTCCGCCGCCACCGAAGAACTTTCATCCGGCTCGCAGGACAGTCGAGCCTCTCAGGTCCACCGCCACCGTCGGACAGTCTCAGCGCCAAGCGAATGTTTGCCGACTATCTCAACAGAGAACTCAGTGACCAAGTTCCGAGCTCCTAGATCACTGTGGTACGTTTGTCAAAAACTAGTTTTTGTTCTTGGCAGATAAAGAACATTTTCTCAAGATCAAACTATTGTGAGGTAAGGTTAAAAGCTGCGAGTGTTTGCCAGCTAGTGATCAAGTTCCCAGCTAAATCACTGAGGTCTATTTGTCAAAAACTAGTTCTTGGTAGGCATTCTCTCAAGATCAAAATAACGATTCTATCATGCTAAAACACTAGGAATTAAGTTCCAAAGTTCTTGACCAGCTAGGGATCTCCAAAGGCTGGCCAAACGCCACTACTTGACTCAATTCCAGGTGTTTTGCTTCGTCAGCCATTCATTTCTTCTTCCTCCAAGAATTTTAAAAAAAAATTACAAGAGGGATGCGATTCCAGGAATGAATGAGCGCGAGGTATGGATTGCGCGCTCCCACTGGCGATCGCGCACATGGATCGATTCCAGGGATGAATCACACCGGCGCCTGGAATACGCTGGTGGAATTGACGCCTGTATCTCAGCATTTGAGAGAGCATTCTCCAGGGGCAAGGGGGTTAGCTACGCCCACTCCACGCCCTTTAATGCTTAACGACTTACTCTAAGTTGCATTAAAATTTAATTAGTAGACGGGTGTATCATCTATCACAATAAAGAGGAGTTGCCGAACTTTCTGGGGCTGCCGGATCCACCCAATCGCAACCATCTGATGGGGGGTGTAACTGTAAAGGGGTTATTTCTTTAACCACGTGTTAGCGAATAATTGTGTTGATGTTTGCTCCAGGTGAATGGGAGGCAGCCAAGCTGCATAGGGCAGGAGAGGAAAGCGTAATGACATATGTTACATGCAAATGTGTTGACTGTGGCTGTGCTTGTCGTCTGGGCATAGAGATCGCTTGAGCAGCAGCAGCAGCCCAAGCCTGCAAGAAAGATCTAGCGACTGGAGCAAAATCAATCATCCTCCTAGTGGTGGAGCGAGGTGTCACAGCATCTGGACGCGCCGCTAGATTGGATTGCAGTGTTCATCTGCTGGATGTCGTGCTGCAAACTATTAACCGTGAAGACTGGCCCAGAGGCGCTGGCAGAGGTGCTGAGAGAGAGGCACCGAGCAGTACTGGAGCGCTGAGTGAGGTGCTGGTGTGAGAGAGTGGCCTAAGGCACTGGCAGAGGCGTTGAGAGGAGGCACCGAGCTAGGAATGCGCTCACTAAGGCACTGGCAGAAGCTGGGCAAGCAGAGGGCGCTGAGAGAGGGCTGGCTGAGCAGGGACTGCATTAGAGCACTGAGCAAGGTGCTAGGGCGTGCGAGGCAGAGGCACTGACAGTGGTGCCAGGCACTTTGACACTGGCTAGAGGTGTGGGCATAGAGGCACAAGGCACCAAAGAGGCATGTTTCAACTCTTGGCATATTTTCTTGCTGTTTTCGTTATTTTCCTGATTTGATTTTTGCAATACTTTGTGGTGTCTTTGCTCCCATTGAAAGTTTTCACTTTCTTATGCTCCGAACTTAACAGAAGAATTGCTTGGTATGTAGTTTCTCAACCACTGGCATCAGAGGAGGTCTGCATGGTCATCAGGATGGTAAGTTTTTTATTTTCTTTACAGGTGAATTCATGGGTGTAGAGATTGGGACATAGGGTATTAAGTGTTAGCTAGACTTTGATAGTAGGTTCTGTCTCTTGCTATGGTGATGGAAGTGTGGTATCAAAAGATTTTAGGTTATCCAAATGGCAATGCACAGTGCTCTTGCTAATCTAATTAATGACAAGTTGTAACCATGAGGTGATAAATGTCTTTGGTGGTATCAGCCAGAGATTTGAACTCTGTTTAACAGGTTATCTGAATATTTATTTTTTAAGTGAACAGCTTTATTTTTAATGCTTTACTAATAAAATAATCTAATTTACCTTATTTTATTTTGTTTTATAAATTACTATAATATTTGAATATTTAAGGTCAAAATTAATTTTTATAATTTAATTTAACAGTATTTGTAAATATAATAAGAAAACTGTATTTTATACAGATAGCCTGTTTAAATATCATTATAACATCTGAAACTCAACACCAAATGATGGTATATCAAATATGGGTTGACTTAGTTTTATCAATGAGTAGGATCATGATCAAAGCTTCAAATGTTAATAGAACAAATTAAACAATTTCAACAATAGGAGTATATATTATATTTTTAGATGTAGCCTTAACTATTTACAATTTAATTCATTAGCAGAAAAACTAAAATGATGTATGCAGTATTTGATTAAGCAGTAATATATTAGAATCTTTTTCCTAACTGTAAATATAGTTTATTTAGTACATAATAATGTGTAGTAATATTCTAAGTAAACTGCATAATTAAGTAATGTCTTGCTAAAAGAAAAAGAGTAATAATTATTCTTAGTAATTATTCTCTTTTTTAAAATAAAATATTAATATAAGTTTATCCCATGTAAAAATATAATTGACATATAACATATTATTAATAATAGAAATTTCTGTTTAATTTTTTCTGTGTCAGGTATTTTTCTAAATATATTCTTATTTCCAAATAATAATTTGTATTTAATATTTTTATTAATGAATATTTATTCTTACTTATGCCTAGGAATATATTTTGTTCTAAATATTTATATTATCAAGTTTACAAGAATTAATTTTTGTGTTCACCTAACATTTGCTAAGCATAATTCCCTCAATTCTTCTTTCAAAGTGGAACACAATATTTTTTTTTTTGATACTATTCCAATTTTAGTTTTTAATGTAATAAAACTATAACAATCAAAACAGTATTTTGCTAACTAGGCAGCATATGCTAGGTAAGTGCTAGTCTATAATAATTAGCACTTGTCTTGAATGTCATAGTTTTGGTACATTGAAACTGACATAAGCCTTTCAAAACCACTTTTTGGATTTGAAATAAGAGTATTCTAGGCTATCCACCTCAAAAAGAGTAATCTATGTGAGGTTAAGCTTTTTTGTCTTGTTTATTAAACTTAACTCAAGAATTTTTACTCAACATTGGCAATAAGGGTAGATTTTCCTTCTACCATAAAGGATCCATTAGTTGTAGCATTGGAATTTGATATAAGATTACATATATGAGAAAGAGATCATCATTTCATTTGAAAAGTTAAAGATAATGTTGCTTACTTTGTAGAGTGACTTCCCAAAGCCAAAGATGGAATCTATGTTCCCCTTGATATATGTATTTTAAAATACATGTTCAAGGCTAAATCACAAATGTGTGCTTTAAAGTAACAACATTAGCTATATCAAATTTGGGAGAAAGAATCAAATTCAATAGAAAATTGGTGTATAAACAACTAAAGAGAACTATTTGAGAAACAATTTATAAAGGTTTAAATATAAAAAGAAAAGATCCGTGAATAAAAGTGCAGTTTATGTTCAAATTCATTAAGGGTCTTGGGGTACTTAACGTTAAGTGTCCTCGGGTTTGAATAGTATTGACTTTCTTAGGAAAAATTTAATATAAAACCTTTTTATATATTGTATTGATGGTGAAAATAAGTAATAGTTGTTCTTGGAGTGACATATTTTTATAAGTAACCAACGAGAGACAATCTATAAGAGTTTAAATATAAACCTATAAACAAGAGTGCATCCCTTTTTTTAAGGGTATTGAGATATTTAAGGTTAAGTGTCTTTGGGTTTAAATAGCACTAGGTTAATTGACCTTCCAAAAAATCCAAATTCAAGATATCACATTTGGTATCAAACGGGTATTGAACTCAATGAATAGAATCACACAACATGTTGAAATTGAAATTTGGTAGATATAATTTATTTTTGGCTAAACTTAATTCGAGGGGTAAAGTGTTAACAAACTCAAAGGGTATGCTGTTAATAGAGTAGGGCTCTTGAAAGAGTTGCAACTTTTAACTTCTATTTACGAAAACAAATTTAAGAACTTATAATTTTGGGCTAGATGACATTTTAAGAAATTTAAATTCCAAGAGCTCACAATTTTGTACTTTAATGCCTAATCTAACTAGTGATGTGCATTTTGATAAAGCCTAAATGTGTAAGTGTATTTCAACTCGGTCAAATGACTTCTCTAGTACTAAAGATTGTGAGGTAATACCCCTAAAAAATTGGAAATTGTCTTTTAGACATTTTATATGGAATTTGTGGTATGAATATAATTTAAGGGATGAAAGCCTTTGTGTTTTTGAATTTGCCTAACATAATTCTACAGTCTAGAACTGTTGGTAAGACATATTTATGGATGAAGTATATACTATTACATAGTCTAATAGATGGATATATATTTCTTAATAGAATAAGGATAACATTTTCTTTAAGTGCTGAAAGACTAGAAGGCATGATGAAATTTAGGCTGGGTGTTTAATATCAATAAAGTTAATAATTTCATAAATATGTATATAATTTGATAATGAAGAGATTATAGCATTATTAATGGGAAAAATATCATCATTTATTAGTGTAAGTATGACTCTAATAGATGCAATGTTTGGGTCTAAAATATCATAAAGATAATATTGGTAAGTTCAAGTAATTATCACCATTTCCAATTTGAATAAGCCACTCAGCCTATAAAAAATTATTTTCAATTAGACTCACATTTTTTTTTAGAGAAAGTTTTCTAAAAAATTTCCATAACATATTCATTTTTATCAAATTTAAAACAATTTATGCTTGATGACTATGTGGAATACTTAGTAATGTTTATCTGCAGTCACCACTTGTAATAATAACTATTTATCTAAAAGGTAATTTAGTTCTATTATATCTTTTAATGCTATATTAATGGCAGAAAATGCATGTGTGTAAACCATACTAATTTCATTCCATATTGAAACATGTGCATTCGTAATTTTTTGGCGTGCTTCACTATTAACAGTAATAGAAAAAGGAAAAATTTCATTTATTGGAACATAAAGTTTAAATGCAATATATAATGTTTGACCATTATGTAGTAAAGTGTTTGCAATACTTGTCCAGACTATACTAACTATATTTTTGTTTAAAAAGTTTTAATGTGTATATAAGAGTGTTAAGAATAAATGTTTTACCAATACAATCAGGACTATCGATGAAAATATATTGATTTTGCTAGGTTGGGTTATTAATAGTAATATGTAAGAAACTAATTTTCTTGTTCACCTAACTACACATTTAACCCTATAAAAGAGTCTTACTCAAAACCTCTAGAGGTACTCTTCCTAACTTAGGGATTTACTAGCCTCAAGGGGTGACCTCAAAGTCACACCACCTTTACATTTGGTCCAAGTGGTTTACATGTTCAATCCCATTATAGACACCCAAAGGTATCCCTAATATACTACTCCATTATACTAAAGTTAGATTCATTTGCCTTTGATAGTCCAAGACTATCTGTATAACAATCTCATCTCCCAAAGACTTAACCATCCATCCATGAGTGGCTATCCTATGACCACAACTTAGGATCTTTAGGATGCTTGGAGATATAGAAACATTATTCCACTAAGCCATCTGTCTATATGTAGTCATGTTATGACTACACTTTAGCATTTTTAGGATGCCCAAAGACATAAAAAACACCCTTCTCCAATATGTCTCATTCAGTCCACACCAAATCTCTCCTCATTCACAGCAATGCTCACTAATACTATCATTAGATAAAGGCTCAAAGGCCTAACCACTATATCCCATTGACTTCTAAAATTTCTTCACCACATGATTATACCCTTGATCACTATACAAGAGAATTATTCTTTTTTCTTTTCACAATTTGGGACTTTAGGATGATATTTTAAAACACTATAGCTCTACGTGAGTTTCATAAGTATTCCCCCACCTTCCGCTTCTGGGTGCCTTAGCCATGTGGCTAAAGTGAAGTTTTTATGAGCCATATTAGGTATCCAAATAAATAGTGCCACCCACACTTGGATTGGTAATATCAACCATTTAAACTTTTGGGGAAGTTAAAGTTCGCTCTTGAACACTTCACCAAATTACCTCATTTATCCATTTATGTTCACTTTAGCCTTTAACATTTTAGTGGTTATATCATCACTCACCACATGAGTGTAACCTTCTTTAGTCACACTAGCCTTTCTTGACCAAATTGGTTTCATTGGAATACAATCCTCATCCTCTTTCTATTAACCTTTTATAACCCCTTTGAGGGATGATTGCTTTAGCCTTTCACCCTATGATCTGTATTAGTATTCGGACTTAGTCTTAGATTTAGAATTGGACTTAAACTCAGACTTGGACTTGGATTCAGACTTAAACTCAATCTTAATCTTGATCTTGGTCTCACTCTCAATCTTAGTCTTGGACTTGGATTCCATTTTGGACTCTCCATCCCAAACCCAGTCTTGGCCTCCATCTCGGACTCAGACTTGGATTCGGTCTCAGGCTCACTTTTGGATTTAGCTTTGGACTTGGTCTTAGATTCAATCCCAACACTTCTATATATTATGACATCTACCATATATTAGTCCTTCTTATATCCCTTTCTAGGTACTTATTCATCAATCACTTTGTGCTTCTTCAAGCACTTCTTTGGGAATTCAATTTCTTCCACTTTGGGGCTTAGGGATTTATATTTTACAATTCCACCACCTATAAACAAAGTTTAATGTCCTCAATAAACCATTTTATATAGTAACTCCATTATAAATTACCATTTTCATCCTTTGCACTAAGCCACTATTCATCAATGGTTTAACACTAAAGGCTTATTATGTCTTGTCTATCTTAATCTCTCCAACTTAAAAACTCATTAGATCACTTGTGGTGGTTTTTTCCCTTTTTTTATTTAGTTATTTCTAAACCCATTAAAGACACTTTTTCTATCTCAATTTTAATACTCATTTTAGAGTAGTTTTGGTTTCTATCAACATAATCATCGTAGCTTAGAACCTTAATATTAACTTCTCAAGTCAATTTTTTAGATGTCTTTAACACTTTGTATTGCATATATTGTGTAAACTCCACATCCCTATTCTAAGAAGTTCTTTATTTGAGAGCACCATTATCCTCTCTTTTATTTCATGCCACCTTAGGTATTAAATTCCATTTATTCATAATTTGTGCTAAGGTTATTCATGGCCCTATCATTTGGCTACTTTGCTATTTTATATTTTGGAGCTTTTAGCTTTTGCCAAATTGGAGCATTTAAGAATTCCATTCTTGGAAACATTTTTCTTTCCCACAATCTGGTAGTATTCACCATATAATAATTCCTAACCTAACTTATTATTTAAATTCCTTTTAACAATTTCCAAAGCCTATTATAATTTGCTCCTATCATTTAATTATTACACCAAATAACATAGGATTGCTACCTTCATTCTTAGGGTATCCTTTTAGTTTATAAACAAAATCTCAATTTTGCCAAGTTTATGGGATGTTTACCCATAGGAAATCTCACTAGCATTCTCTTCTCGGGCACTATCCACAACTCAATTTTACAACCCTTCTATAAGTCCTTCCATCAATTTCTTTTCGCCACGCGGGCCTAAATCAGAGCGACCGCAAAAATAACGTCTTTATTTTTTAGAAAGGTTGTTTCTCAACGAAAGGCTTCCAGTTTATAGAAGTTTCCATGCGTCATTCACCATTTGAAGTGTTTATAAGGACACACTACATTTCCAAACTTCCATGGAGCACATCACAGCTTTTTTCACCTTCTTGGCTTCTTTCTTCTTGGTGATCTTCTACTATGATCGATCTAAATCACGCAGCTCCCATGTCATGCCTCCAAGCCCCCGGCCCTTTCCAATCCTCAGCCACATTCCACTCCTGGCCAGCAATTCCCGCGGGCCGCATCTCATCCTCTTCGATCTCGCCAAGAAGCTTGGCCCGATCTTCTACCTCCGCCTGGGCTACACCCCCACGCTCGTCATCTCGTCAGCCAAGATCGCCCAAGAGATCCTCAAGACCCACGACAGGACCTTCTCCTCGCGGCCATCGCTCACGTTTGCCGAGGCGATCCTCCCAGACGATCTCGTCTTCGCGCGCTATGGCGCGAGATGGAGGGAGCTCCGCAAGATCTGCACGCTCGAGCTCTTCACCGCGCGCCGCGTGGGGAGCTTTGCGGCAGTGAGGCAAGCGGAGATGGAGAAGTTCCTGGCGATGCTCTCCCAGAATCTAGGAAGAACGGTGAACATGACCCAGGAGGTCACCGTCCTCACCTTGGAGATCATGCAAACGCTCGTGTTTGGGACGAGCCGGACCTTCGGTGCCAACGATTTCCTCCGCTTGGTCCGCCAGGGGAACGAGCTGAGCGGGAGGCTACACATCGGCGATTACGTCCCATGGCTTAAATGGATGGATCTCTCGCTGCCCAAGCTGAGAACCTTAGCAACCAAATTCCATGCCATGCTTCAAGCACACATTGAAGAGCACCGATCCTCTATAGCCAAGCAAGGACATGGCGGTGAGAGCTTCCTGGACGTCTTGCTCTCGCTCCACAACATGTCAGATCTTACCATCCGGTGCCTCATGCTGGTAAGACTGGGGTTGACTTGAGTGTTGACTAACTCGTTGGCCGTTCTTGCTAGGATGCTATGAGTGCAGGGCTGGACACGACTGCCACAGCGATAGAATGGGCTCTCACAGAGCTACTTCTTCATCCACAAATCTTGGCAAAAGCCCAGAAGGAATTGGACGACGTGATCCCTGCTAGTAGCGCTATCGTGAGTGAGGCCGACATTCCCAAGCTCAAGTACCTCGGCGCGATTGTCAAGGAGACCCTGCGCAAGCACCCACCGGCGCCACTCATGGTTCCACGCGAATCCACCGCCGAGTGTAAGGTAAGTAGTCTAAAAGGTTTGATCCTCGCTAGATCTCTGAATTTGTTATCAACGTGTATGAAAGCTTGAAGAAGCTGGCTACATGATCCCAGCCAAGACCCAAGTGTTGATCAACCTCTACGCCATCGGCCGGGATCCAAACATCTGGGAGAACCCTCTGGAGTTCATCCCGGAGAGGATGAGCAGCGAATTCAATTCGGCCGTGGAACTCATGACGTTTGGCTTTGGCCGGCGATCCTGCCCGGGGATGAACTTGGGGTTGACTGCTGTTCATCTCGTTCTTGCCAATCTTCTCTACAGGTTCAACTGGACAACACCAGATGGTAAAGAGGTGGACGTGGGCGAGGGGGTCGGGTTCACGCTCATGCGGGCTCGTCCACTTGCATTGGTTCCACTTCTCCGCAAGTAGTCAAACATATTGATTAGAATAAACAGAGTGTGTTTATTAAGTACACTTTTGCGAAGGTTAGATTGGAAGCTCCCAATCTGCCATGGTCCTGGTCCAATGGGCTTCGGTTCAGTTCTATTCAGGCAATTATCTCAAAAAATCTATGCGCAAGCTTTGTTTGGATACCAGGCCCATTTTTGGGCTCCAACACGTCAAACAACCTGTAAATGAATGGATATATTTAAAATATACTAGCAATGAATCCAGCTATGCTGGCCTACACAAAATTAAGTCTTCAAAGATGTTTTTTGGATTTTAAATTGTTCATGGTTGCAAATTTATTTAAAACAAGAACAATGCACCAAGTTCCTTCTTTTATTACCATTACCATTTCCCTTCCTGCTTTATTTGCACTAACTTCTTATGGCTCTTATGTGAATTTCTTTTTAAGAGTCTAAAGACAAATTAATTTGTCAAGAGGTAAACCATTACAAGGAAATGGCTCACATTTTTACACTTTACTGCTTTGTCCAGTTTTAAATATCTTTAGTAGTGATGCCACATAACATCATCAACTCACTCTAAACAATAGTGCCTTGGCAATAGTTAAGTCCTTGGGATTAACTTTTGCATTTCTGCTCATGCTAGAGGCTACCTTGGCCATATTGATGGATTTTTTAATCAAGGACTGAGCAAGCTTGCAAGTGCCTCAATTGCAGAGACATGGAATTGGAGGGACTCATGATACAGGCAGGAGCAACAATTCTCTGGACATAATTGTGGCTGCCAAAGCTGCATGTTGGATTGATGAGATCTCATCAATCCAGAGAATTGGCAGAAGGCTTGAAAAACTGGAGTTTTGATGACAAAGAGGTCAGAGGTTCCATTTCCAAATTTTTAGGAAATTTTGACTTCTGATTGTAACATTCCTTAACAATTTCTTCAAGAGACTCTACTTACTGGCTCAGACCTGATTGAAAACTTTCACACTTGAACCTTGATGCATTGCTCATCCAAAGAATCAATAGAACAATGTCATAAGTCCTTGTTGTCCAACCCACAACATCCTATCAAAAAACTAATGGGGCAGTGAGCACATGCTCATTCTCAATGAAAGACCAACTTGTAACTTCTGTGTTCTAAAGTTTTCCACATAAATTTTAGCAGTCGTTACTCCAGTCATGCTAGACAAATTTCTCACTGAAAATGAAGAGAGAATGGTGGATTCTTGCCTTGAAAAACAGGGATTCTCCAGAAGTGTATCTCAAAAAGTGACATTCTCTACCATGCTTTCTCGAAAGTTGGAAGTTTCTGCTAATAACTTCTCTTTAAAAATAAAACACAAATATACAGTGCTGTAATACAATCATGTGACTGTTGCTTCTTTGAAAATATGAACCAGCCGCTCGCTGTCGGGCACACCTCCAGTGCTACTAAGCTCTTCGATTGCATCTCCCAGCGCAATGCTGCGACCTGGAACATGATGGTCCATGCCTACGCTGTGTGACTCTTCTTTGACATTGGTGATCACATTTGCCAAGAGCCGCTGTGCAGTGGAATTTGTGCAATCCTACATGTAGAGCTCCAATCTGAAGAAGATCTTTGATTCCATGACGGATGATGATGTGGTCTCTTGGATCTCGCTCATTTGCCCCAAGAACACGTTTAATGGGGTGGAGTTTCACGATCTTGTCTCGCAGATCTCGATGCTCATTGGATATGTGGCGGTATTCTGGATCCGCAACTGCCAGGCTATCTTGCTGCCTGGTGTCTCTGAGGCCGTGACATGGAACTAAATTATCACAACACTTGGCAAATCGAGGCAGTGAAATCGACCTTTGATCGAATGCCAAGGATCTCGTGTCATGGACAAATCTACTACTGTGCTACGTTCAGAATGGATTCCTCGAAGAATTGACAGGGCATTCCATCATCTTCCCTTCACTAATGCAGTCCAAATTGTGATGATCTTGGCGAATGCTCAGGGATTTGGCCACCACAAAAGAGTTTGATTCCATGCTGGATCAATTTATGTGCTATGGTGCAAGCTTTATGGCTGCCAAGGCCTCATGACCCTTGCAAAGAACATCTTCGATCAAATCTAGGAGAAGAAACCAGTCTTTGGAGTGTGATGCTCCTCATGTATGCCGAGAATGGGCATTTTGATGAGGCCATGAGGTTCTTTCACTAGATCCCATGCAAGACCATTGTCTGCTGGACAGCTTTCACACAAGTTTATGTCAACTTGGACAATCTCAAAAATTTTGAGCATGAAAATGTGCAGCTTGGTTTCCTGGACGACCATGGTTTGGGCTTATGCTCTAAACATGCATGATAATCGAGCAGTGCAACTTATAAATCTCAAGGGCATCAAGATGGAAAAGGTGATGTTATGCCACGTGTCCATAGGACAGTGGTGTGGAACCCGAAGTTTAAAGCCTTGAGCCACTGAATGAAGGAACGGTGCCAAACTCCCAAGCATGGAGCCAAGGAGTGACAGAACCGGTCCACGGAACAACTCTCGAGCACACAGCCCAAGGAGAGAAGGAATAGGTGCATGGAGCAACTTGGAATAATCTTAGAGTATCCAGCATCCCAATGCCAGGACTAACACGCAAAATGGAGCCAAATGGAATTTAGCGCTATTTTGGCATACCGATGGCCTAATGCAAAGATATGGGTATTCCACCAGCTAGCATAGTGTGGAGCTTGGGCTTAGACCTAAGCTGGACACAAAACAAGGATAGGCATATAAACAGAAGCTAGACTATGCCTCAAGTTGGTCAACCATGCCCAACCTACCCACTATCCCTACTATACATTTGAAACCCCCCACAGCCCCCCCCCTGAGGAACATATGCTTTGGGCTTTCACCCCAAGCCTCCCTTAGTATCAGGAGTTAGTCTTTGGGACAAGTTTGAAACTTACTAAATATGGAATGTCTCTAGATTGTGAATTTGGACACGGGATGAACATGTAAGCGACTAAATTTTCCATTCTACTTTAGTCACTTAACCACACCTCTGACCACTTGGAGGAGTCTCATTCACAACCTCCATAAGTCCAATCCAGGACTTGGGACTTGCTAGCCCTGAGAATGGCATCCATGCCACTCAACATTTGCACTTGGTCCAAGTGCTCCACGTGTCCGATCCCATGACCGACACTCAAAGGTACCACCGACATAGCAGCCCGTTACGCTAAGGCCATGCCCAATCACCTTTGCCACACTGGTAGTCCAATACCACTTGCATCACCGTCTTGGCTCTCCAAGACTAGGCAAACCATCCGTGAGTGGTCATCTCAGATCCACTCTTTAGCATCCTTAGGATGCCCACCGACAAGGGGAATAGCCTTCCCCAATATCCCTCTGTCAGTCCCCACTAAGTCCCTTTCTGCCCCTGGCCGTGTTTGCCAACACTGCCACTGGATCGAGACCCACAGGCCCGACCACTAAGTCCCACGGTCCTCTGGGACTTCCTCACCACACGACTGTGTCCTTGGTCACTACCCTAGAGGACTGCTCCTCTTCCTTTCCACAGTCTGGGCCTTTGGGACAACATTTCGGAACACCGTGGCCTTACGCGAGCCACCTGGGTACTCTCCTCGCCTTCTGCCCTTGGGTGCTCTAGCCATGGGCTTAGAGCGGGTTCCGTTGAGCCACACCAGGTATCCAAGTAGGTAGTGCCACCCACACTTGGACTGGGAGCATCGGCCAGTCGATCTCCCGGGGGAACTAGAGCCGGCTCTTGAACACTTCACCAAGCTACCCCGCTTGTCGGTCTGTGTTCACTCTAGTCTTGGACTTCCCAGTGGGCAGCTCATCACCCAACACTGGGTCCGGCCTTCCTGGGCCAAACTAGCCTTTCCTGGCCAAACTGGCTCCACTGCAGTCCTCCCCCTACTATACTTTTGGAGCTCACCAAACCCCCCAGGGTCTGGGAGACGAACGCTTTGGGCTTTCACCCTCTCAGACTCGAACTCGGACTCGGACTCGGACTCGGACTCGGACTCGGACTCGGACTCGGCCTCGGCCTCGGTCTCGGTCTCGGTCCCGATCTCGGTCTCGGTCTCGGTCTCGGTCTCGGTCTCGGTCCCGGTCTCGGTCTCGACTTCGGACTCCATCTCGGGTCCATCTCGGACTCCATCTCGGACTCCATCTCGGACTCCATCTCGGGTCCATCTCGGACTCCATCTCGGACTCCATCTCGGACTCCATTTCGGGTCCATCTCGGGTCCATCTCGGACTCCATCTCGGACTCCATCTCGGACTCCATCTCGGGTCCATCTCGGACTCCATCTCGGGTCCATCTCAGACTCCATCTCGGACTCCATTTCGGGTCCATCTCGGGTCCACCTCAGACTCCATCTCGGACTCCATCTCGGACTCCATTTCGGGTCCATCTCGGGTCCACCTCGGACTCCATCTCGGACTCCATCTCGAGTCCATCTCGGACACTTCCACGTGTCATGTGTTGGTCCTTTTGGGTCCCTTTTTGGAGCCTCGCTTTTTGCTCGCTTCGTGCTCGTTCCTCGAGCACTTCGTTGGGAGTTCCACTCCTGCTCTTGACTTTTCAAGTCGGAGCTTTTGGTCCAAACGTGTTACGCTCATTTGGCTCTTGCTTCGGCCACTACCACGTGGCGCCCTTCCGGCTCCACTTTGGGGCCTAGGGATTTTGTGTCTCACAACTCCACCACCCATAGACGAAGTTCGATGTCCTTATCGAACGGTAAACCATTTTTTAAAGTAACACTCGCATGTGTTACCATTTCCATCCTTGGCACCTAGCCAATATTTGTCAATGGTTTGACATTGAAGGCTCACCATGCCTTCTCCATATTCGTCAATGGTTTGACATTGAAGGCTCACCATGCCTTTTGCATATGCCTCAATGGTTTGACACTAAAGGCTCACCATGCCTTGCCTATCCTCTAAGGAGGGTAGTCTCTCCAACTTAGAGATTGATTGGACCACATATAGTGGTTTTTTCCTTTTATTGGTTTAGTTCTCGCTAAACTTC